AAATGAGGTGCCAGCAAAAATCAAATTCTGGGCACCCGGCATCTTGCCCACCAAACCTCTCGTCTCTGCATCAATGATGACGGACTCGTGCTGCTCCACCGATTTGTGCCATTTGATCGGAGGCGCTGGGTAGCAATCCACCGCAAACGCGTCCTGCGGGTCCGCGGGTTATGGCCAACAGAACACATTCCTGTCTGATGCGCAATTCCGGCCTTCGACTCGGCAACTTTGGCGCGCGTCATTGCGCCAAGTGCTGAATGACAACCTAGTTGTCCCTAACAAATTGCTGGGCCTACTGCACTTGCAATGAGTCTCATGCAAAGAGCAATGAGCATGATGAATTGTTTCTGTTCTAAGCCTTTTGACTGCAAGCCCCCGCTGCCAGCCCTAGCTCAGCACGCAGGAGCTGCCAAAAGCTGCGGAGAATGCTAGCTGAAGCACTGATACCCTGGCATTTACCCAAGCATTCGTGCATAGAACGAAATGGGGCCGCGGGTTTAGGGAGGGGGCTGCGAATTCATGAACTTCAAAACCTGCGCCAAGTTGCCCAAATCAGCATGTGTCGGCTTCGGAAACATGTTTCGAGGAGCTGTCCCACAAAAAAAAAGATCAGACCTATTGAAGATGTCACGACCCCTGCGTGCAAACCAGGCTGGCAGTAAGGTGAGTGAGGTGAAACCCTGACAACCAAGCCGAGTTGTTTGCCAGCTCGCGACGTCGGAGGTGAATCCAACACCACGCCGAGTGCCCGGCCGAGCTCCCGGAAGAGGGCGGCCTTGCGGATGGGCTCGCACACCGCCGCGTCCATGTCCGCCTGCACTTCGTTCAAGGCGCCCACGTCCTGGCGCCGTGTGCTGCCCTCTTTGGACCCGTGTCGGTGCCGCGGAAGCCGCCTTTCAACCAAAGGATACCAAAAAAAAGGTCCTAATTTTGTCAACCTCCCCACACGGGGGACTGGCGGAATCTGTGGAATGCGGAGCTTGCGCCGCATGAGCCCAGAAGCGACGCACTATGCGCCACGCAATATTTGCATGTGGAGACGGCTTCTCTCAGGGATCGTTTACCAGCGCTCTCACCCCTTCTGCCCATGAACTTGCGAGTGGCTTGGTGGCTTGACCCTGGAGCCAATCAAACTGGCACACCAAAACTTCTGCCTGCCCCTTTGTTGAGAACTCAGTTCGCTTGGATGGCCACAAACTCAACGAGTCAATGATGCCTCCCACTTCACATCCGGGATGGTGGTGAAGCCCTCGCGGCGTGCGGAGGGCTGCACTCGCGCCAACGCCTCCGTGAAGTCCTTGGCCTGAGGCTGGGACTGGCGGCCACGAATCCCCGAAGGACGTTTACTTGACAGCCTTTATGTACATATGTAATGTATGTTTAGTTGATAGTATGTAATGACGCAAATACGCCCATGTTGGGCCCTGGGTGACTGGCTTCCAACATAACTACAAGTTGTTAACCCATAAAGGGCTTCGTAACCCGGGTTCCATGGATTATGATGCCCGTTGAACGGCAACTGGAAAACGGCCTTCCGGAAGCGGTAGGTGAGTGGCAAGGGCAATGAAATTGAAAGGAGGAAGCCAGCGAGGTTCGTGTTGGACCCTTTGAATAAGATGGTCGCCGCAGTTTGCAGCAATCTTTACTTGATGCCATGCGGGAATATGTGCGAGCATCTGACCCCCACCCCTCTAAAACCTGGTGTTGAGATGATGACTGACATAACACAGGAATCATGGCATTGATCTTTCAAGCACCTATGTTGTCCCTTCTCTGAAATCCTGTCATCATTCCATCCTTCCATACCCGGTGTCGTTTTGGTGTCCCTAAAATACCTACCAAAAGGGGGCTGTTCCGCCCAATTTGAGAAACCCCTCATATCTGCCGGCCTCCACTGCCAGGTGTGCCATCTCAGTGGCGGTATAGGCCCGCTCCGGGCCATCGGAAACCGGTTCCGCGTCGGGCGCGTCAGATGGCACCGCCTGTGCTCGCTGCCCGGCAAGAAGCTCAAGCTGGAGAGGAGCGGAGTATGGAGAAGCCGCTTCTGTTCAAGCCAAGCTGATACCCATCCATTGACTTGGTTCCCTGTCAACCCCAACACTCCATCCCATCCAACCCATCCAACCCATCCAACACATCCAACCCATCCAACCCATCCATCCAACCCATCCAACACATCCAACCTATCCAACCCATCCAACCCATCCAACACATCCAACCCATCCAACCCATCCAACCCATCCACCCCCCCCATGTCAGTCACCCCATCCGTCCCATCACTCCGCGCCTGGCGGCTGTCCGCAAGGCCCTGGAAGGCCCTTTGCACCGCCCCCAGCGCGGCCTCCTTCGTGAGCGCGCTGAGGTCCGCGCCCACGAAGCCCGCGGTCTTCTTGGCCAAGTACTGCAGGTCCAACGTCTCCGCCAGGCGCATGCCCTGCACCATCTTCTCCAAGATCTTGGCCCTGCCAACGAGAACCAAAGATTAAAAACGGCAAAAAGAAGGCGGGCAGGACAAGGAGCAAGGATATGGATCAGGTTTGAGCTTCCAAACCCGTGACCAAAACCAACCACTCAACCAACCAACCAACCAACCAACCAACCAACCAACCAACCAACCAAGCCAAACCAATCCACAAACCAATCCACAAACCAATCCACAAACCAATCCACAAATCACCCACCCACGAGCCACCCACCGATTGGCCATCGACGTGCCATCCACCCGGCGAGACCCGAAAGCGTTTGCCGCCTGGCGCTTTCGTCCGGGATGCCCATGGCGATCTCCCGGTCGAAGCGGCCGGCCCGGCGCAAGGCAGGGTCCAGGGCGTCCGGGCGATTGGTGGCGCCCAGGACCACCACGTTGGCCTCGCGCAAGCAGCTTGGAGTTGGCGGGTCAAAACCCGGGAAACCCCTGGTGAACATCAAAGGTGGTACATGGGTGTTCCGCCCCAAAATGGAGGCAGAGCTTATGACCCACGGCCAGTTCAGCTTGACTTTGGTGCGCTCGAGTGTGGCTTGGATTGCATTGCATTGGATTGGATTGGATTGGATTGGATTGGGCGGCACTTGACAGCCAAATCATTGGGGCTCGCTTGATTTGGTTGGTCTATTTTACGTCAAAGCACAGTCAGAAACCCTCAAAGCGGCTCATCCAGTGGCCCGAAACCTCCATTCCAAAAAAAAACCTGCCGCATTTGGGTTTGTCTCCAACCAATTAACACCCTTTCCTTGGTTTCCCTTTGAACCAACCCCAAAAAGGGCACCCTGAAACAGATTGTCCAGGAGCCTTTTCAGGTTGAAAAAAAAAATCGAATGGTACCATTGTTCAGGTCATCTGAAAGGCACACCGACAAACCCTTTGACACACAAGACCCATTTCTGTGTCCATTCCCCGTTTCTCTCCGAGATCTACATCCGCTTCTTCCGGAGTCCCCACCTATACCAAGACGAAACCAACCGTAAACCAACCTAAACCAACCTGTACCGTACTAACCTGAACCATCCCTACACCATCCCTAAACCAACCTGAACAGACCCCTGATTTAGCTCCTATCTTTTTCTCTTTTTTTGGGACTTACCATGGGGGGTTCGTTCCAGTCTCAGTCTGGAACCGCGCAACCTTTGACCAACAGCCCTCCTTCTGGATCTCGTCCAGGCAGGTCAACAGCTGCGCCACGATGCGGCGCTCCATCTCCCGGCCTGCTGAGTCCCGCTTCGGCGTGATGGCGTCCACCTGAGTGGTCCAAAGCCGAAACGCCAGGTTGACCTTCTTTTAATTTAATTGTTTGTGGACTATATCCATAATGTTTATAATATTTATTATATATACCAAGTGATTGTGAAATGAACCTCCACCCGGAGGAAGAAGGATTCACCAGGTGAACCCCCAAGTGAGCGATTTGGGGTTTACTAATAGCTCAGCAGGGGTCAGCACAAGGATCGATCGAACCGAACCGAATTTCATCGCGCCTCGTCCATGAAGATGAGGCTTGGCGCCGCGTTGGTCGCCGCCTGAAAGAGCTGCCGGATCTTGGCCTCCGACTCTCCAGACATCCCCGACACGATCTCCGTGGCCGCGATCTTGAAGAAGGGCACGCCTGCAATCAACTTCTTGTCAACTTTGTGCAAACCCCAAAAGAAATGGAGGCAGCGGGCGGGCGGGCTGCGAAACCCCCAAAAGACACGGGGGGGGGGGGTTGGTTGGGAGCTTTTTGGTTTCCCGATGAGAGAAGAAGTTGAAAAGCGGACCTCCTTTTAAAAATGACACACCCATATGAGACAAGCCCATGCCAAATCCAAATTCATTACCAACCTTAACCCGAAAATCCACACAGAAAAAAACCAGTATGAGTCTCCCCTCCGTGTCGTAACGCTTCTTACTTGCTTGGTTGGCGTCCTCTCTCTCTCTCTCTCTCTCTCCTCTCTCTCTCTCTCTCTCTCTCTCTCTCTCTCTCTCTCTCTCTCTCTCTCTCTGTCTCTCTGAAATGGTTTGTGTCCTCGTTGGAAAGTGTCACAGAAAAAAGAAACCCTGTTTGACGGCAGGAGGAGAGTGGGAAAAACAAATTAGCTGAGGGCAGGCAGGCGAAGAAACAAACGGAAAGACAAGGCAGAGGCGGAATGGAATTGAAAAAGAGGGCTATCTCACTCCGTCTCTCTCTGTCTCCGTCCCACTCTCCGTCTCCGTCTCCATCTTCGCCTCTCTCTCCCTCTCTGTCTTGATTCCTGTCTTGGGAGAGGGGGAGAGAGGGAGGGGGGGGAAGATGGAGATGGACACAGAAACGCAAATGGAGACGGAGACAGAGACCGAGAGCAACTGTTTGGTGGTGATTGCCCAAATCTAAAGTTTGGGCAAAGCAATGTTACCGTCAATCTGAGCTGGCATCTAATCATACTAGCTGCCTGCCAAGATGTGCGAAATCAGCTATCTCTGAGGAATATCATTTTTCAGTGCTCCAAGTGCCGAAGGGACAGCAGAAAAACGGATCAGATCAACACGGAACCCAAGGGGGTCCGGGAGGAGATTCTCTAAAGAATGAGATGTTCCTTGGGTCCACGTCGAATTCATCAGGAGAGGAATCGATCTATGAGTCCATGGGGATGTGTTGTTCCAATGAGGAATTGTGGACCTGCCCGCCTGTGGTGCCTGCTATAGCATGGGCGATCTTGGTCTTGCCACAGCCCGGTGGACCAAAGAGCAGCACCCCAGTGGGGGGCTGAACCCCCAGGTGGGAAAACACTTCCGGGTGGCTCAGGGGCTGGACCACCAGCTGCCTGAGGTCATCCAAGATCTCGTCCACGCCTCCCAAGTCCTCCAGCCGCTCCTCAGGCCGATCCTCTGGCTGAAACCCGCCGGAGCTGCGTGGATCTGACAAGCCCTGCTCCCGCCGGGCGGCCGCCATGGACGCCTTCTCTCGCGCTTTGCGAGCAGACTGCGGGTCCTGGCCGAGTCGCTCAGCCTTTGCTGCGAGGTTGGCATCACTGCCCTGGGCATAGAGACGTCGCAGGGAGTCGTTCATGTTCTCCTTCTCCGGGGGCTGAGCAGACAAGGCGGAGCTATCCTCCTTCGCCTTACGCCGCTTCTTCTTCTTTGGCCCCTCCTGACCGTTCTGACCGTCAGCACCATTAGCCTCTTGCAAAGGTGTGCTCAGCTCTTGCAGCACCATGCGCCGCAGCGCCTGCTGCTTCAGCCGTCCATACTCTGCGAAGCTTCGGCACAGCTCCTCCCTGACGCCTCGGTTTGACATCACCCCAAACCTGAGATGAAGGCAGCATGGGTTGGTCTTCTGTGGAGGACCCCCACCAAAAAAAAGGAGTGGAAATTATGTTGGTTTGGATTAAAAAAAAAAAAACATTAAAAACCGACACCTTCCTAGGGAAGTCATAGTCCAAGCATAGTCGCCCCAGAATATGTTTAGGCATCTCATTAAGCTCCAAAATAGCAGGCTTGGTTTGGGTTCAACATACTCGTAGCATTGGCACTCGAAAAAAAGAGTCCATCAGGTAGACCAACACTCGTCCAAGCATCTATCCGCCGTGCAGCTCTTGCCTGCAGATTGGAACTGAATCCGAATCTCGCGGATTCTGTGCGGTAGTCGCTTATCCATTGCTACACCTCATAGCACTCACATCTTGCAGAAGTTGCATCTGATGAAACTTGTTTTGCAATTCTGGTGGGTCTTTGAGCAAGGCAGTTTGTTGGTTGGCATTGGAGATCGACCGCACCTACGAAAATGTTCGAAGCCGTCAAGCTAGCAGCGCTTGTGAATCCTCAAAAATGCGACACCTTGGGTATGAGCTCTACCTGGATCCAAGGGGCTTACAGGCCCTTGAGCCGCACAGCTGTCTCAGTCACAGCTGGCAAGCGCGCCTTCCTTGACATGGCGTCCGGTAGGATGCATCCCAAACCGGCTTTGCGAGGGGATCCTATTCATCAGCTGGTAAAAATAAAATAAAAAGGCCCGAGTGTATCTTTCGAAGAAGAAGACAAAAAGACAACCTGACGGCTTTGCACCTTGCGGCTCCCTTTTTCGCACGTCAGCGCTTCCGCTTGCGAGCGCGTGGGGCCTCCTCCTGCAAGCAGTACCAAACTCGGCAAATTCAGATGTTCAATTCCAAACACTGGGTGAATTACACTATAACTCAACAGAGGTTCCCTAAGACAGCTCCATGGGTTGTACGTTCAACAAAGGTTTAAGACAAAGTTGTTCTTGACAAACAATTGCAAGACGTGAATCCGAACTTGCAATGTGAATGGAAGTGAAAGCAATAAACCAGCTTGACAACTTGTGTGGATCCAAGTACTACTGTACCCTTCAAAGATATCAATCGAATTTATATTCAACGACACAACAAAAGGCAAAGTGCATGCACCATGATGCAGTAGCACGCCTCACTGTCACTGAGAGAGAACCACTCGCCTTTCTTGACCGCTCGCTTCGCCTAGCATCGGCCAACACAGCTACGGAGCAAAGCTGTTAACATCCATCATGAGTCCTCATCTTGAATTGGTGTTTCATCTGGTGCACCACAACATCCCAACGCCATGAGCAACTGTTCCTCAACCAACCTGGTCCACCCACTTGTTGACAACCCACAGAGCCAGCCCCAATGTGGTCGAAGCTCGATGGCCATGGTCATGGTTCCCTTAGTTGGAACCTTTGCGATGGTTGTCTAAAACCTGCAAGGGGTCCGTGACCGGCCCCACCCGAACTGGAAGGGTGTTTTGATCAAATGCAAAGCCTCCCCTTCATCTTCAGTTTGCCAAGCGGCCGCCACCACCAGCCCTCCGCTCTGGCCTCAGAGCCGGCTTGTGCCCAAAAACATCCAAAAAACAGGCGCGGACTCCCGTATGTCCCCTTTTGGTCGCTTTAAACATCAAGTGTTTGAACCATTCAACGTGAGCTTTCCTTGGTAGTGTGAAGGGATTGCTCCCTTCATGAGAACCTGAAAGAGGAAGTCTAATCCGGATCATGGCTCTCAATGTTGCCGTAGGTCCTACAAATCCGAAAAGCCTGAGACCCACGGATGCAAGCTGTCGCAAAAAATAGAAAGTAGCAAGCGATTGCTTCAATTGGGCTTCCAGCTTTCCTGCAGCTCGCAGTTGGCATCAGAGCTCCTCTGCAAAGCCGGCACCCACCAAACTCATCCAGTCAGAGCATGACTCCAATTCAAAGGTATCACACGCTTTCCATATGGACCAGCTTCACCTTTTGGTTGACCTTGACTCAACCTGGACCCCTCAAATGGACAGGAGAGATACCTGGGCAGGCCGGTGAATGAGTTAAAGGAGGATTCAGCTGGCGGCTATGTGGGTACGTACCAAAATAAGGAGAACACAGAAAATGATGGCCTTCCTGTGTTTTCCAGTTAAACCAACCTGAAAAGTGTACGCTCAAACTTCCTTTTAAACTTTACAAGAACCAGGGGTTCAAGCCCACCACCAATTAAGGCTAAGCTGAATGCTGACCCTCACATCCAAAACAGCACGGATTGCATGGAACCTCCTGACCAGGTTACTCGCATGGATCTCGCTACGTGAATGTAGCGACCCTATTAAAGGCTTGTGACCTCATGATGAAGATTTCCTTCACAGGGGTTTCGCGCGTCAACGTTCACTCGGAGTATTTCCCGAACATCAAGTGGGTGTGCCCCAAGTTGGGAGACCCCCCTTCAACATCAGGGGAGGCAGTTGGATATGGCGGAATCCCATTGATCTCCCTGGCTATGGTCACTTTTTGGGTTGCCAGAAGTGAATCTTCTTTTTGTTGGGCGTTGCTGGGATCCTCCGAAGAGCTCTGCCGCAATGCTTCGCCACACGAAGAGCAAATCTACCAGGGGAACCCGGTGACGCCTGGGGCAACCTCCGCCTCCTCCGAGCCGACCTTTCTGACCTTTGGCTTTCCGTGTTCCATGTCTAGTCAGAGTTGACCAAGGTCGTACATGAGAACCTGACTGAGGTCCTGGAAGGCAAAAAGGCGGAAAGGTCCGTGTTGGACCTTCTTCAACCCACCAACGGTCCCTTTCCGACTGGTCCAAAGCCGCGAGCCCAAAGCTCCTCGGCAGCTGCAGCTGTGGAGCCTCCTCCTCTGTGAAGATGACCGCCTCTAGCAAAAAAATATATCAAAAGCGCGGCCCGGTTGATGTGGCTTTGTCTTGCTCCTCAATCCTGAGGGCTGGGGAAATACCCCATTTTGAGCCACGGCCATGTCGAGAAGAAGACATGATCGCGAGATTCCGGTCATTATGATGGCCCATGTACGCAGTGAGCTCAAGCAATGGCCAGGCAAGCACGCGGGTTCATCGCAATGCGGTCGCGCTCTGTGCAGTGATCGTACATGGGCCTGTCAAAGAACCGGACCTAAAAACAGATGCAATAGGGGCAAAGCCGTGCACAGCCGAGGCTCCTGCACCCTTTCGGATGGGTCTCAGCGCGTAGTGGCCTGTTGACTTTCTCCCATTCACCACCAAATTCTCTGAAGCAAGCTGTCTCACATTGTGCAACCCACTGCCGTGGTCTAGCTGCGGGACTACACACCTAGAATTAGAAGAACTTCAGTAGCGAGTCAAGCAGATGGTGGAGAAGCTCAAAGTCGCACACTGAATCTCAAATTGTGCGATGTTCAACGTTCCAAGGCCAAAGACCGAAGAGTTAGTTGTTAATTGCCCGTCCCGCGCAGGAACAAGAGGTCGATCATCGAGGCTTTTGTCGAAAGGGGTCAGGAATACAGGAGCCAGGCAGGCAGGGGAGGCAAAGGAAGGGAGGAAGGCAGGGAGGAAGGAAGGAAGGGAGGAAGGGAGGAAGGAAGGAAGGCAGGGAGGAAGGGAGGAAGGGAGGAAGGGAGGAAGGGAGGCAGGGAGGAAGGGAGGGAGGCAGCGAGGAAGGGAGGAAGGGAGGCAGGGAGGAAGGGAGGAAGGGAGGAAGGGAGGAAGGGAGGAAGGGAGGAAGGGAGGAAGGGAGGAAGGGAGGAAGGGAGGAAGGGAGGAAGGGAGGAAGGGAGGAAGGGAGGAAGGGAGGAAGGAAGGGAGGAAGGGAGGAAGGGAGGAAGGGAGGAAGGGGACAGAGGTCGAGGTCATTGAAAAGCCGTTTGAAGTGCAGAAGCTACTACTGTGCGGCACATGCGCAACATCGTGCAAAAGCAAATTTAGCTCCTTTGATCCATGAGTCCCAGTCGTGACAGCAATGCAAGCCAGGGCGTAATACTGAGACCAACGCTGTGCAGCTTGGTTAATGTTGAACACCGCAAAAGCAAAAAAAACTCGCAGCAACGATTTTTCTGCATTCAATACAACAAGGCCAACACACAGCTTTGGTTTGAGGTTTGATTGTATGTTGAGCTAGGGGTCCACGTCCTGTTGAACTTGCACGTGGCACAAAGGCAAACGTTGTGTCAGACAAACCGCATGGATGCTAGCCAGTAACTCAAATTAAATGATGATCCACATTCTCTGTCAAGCGAAACGCAGCATCCTGAGAATCTTAGCTTAGCAATCAAGCATTTGTTCGATTTGTGGTGGCTCAGTCACTCTCTATGACACACTAACCAGCGTTTGTGTTTGAAATGGTCTAATCCGCCCAAGGATCGGAAAACATGACACTTCAGCAGTATTCTAAGGCCTTGTAAGCCATGGTCAAACTATGTTGTGGCCATGATGGACACAAGAAATTTGGTGAGCTCCACCCATGTCCGCCAAAGTTGAAGATAGACTGCTACAAAAGTTGAACCTCATTCGCTTCCCAGATACGCAGGCGTTCAAAGAGCCATGTCCCTGGTGTCCCTTGTTGAACCAACTAAACAAGTGCGTAACCCGGCAATGTGATCCATGCAGCAAGTGCAAGTCAATGCAACTCATGCAACAAGAGTACCCCAGCTTTCACAACCCGTTAAACCAAAGTGGTCAACCAAATTTCGCCTTGAACCAGACAAAAAACAAAACAAAAAACGCACCGATGTCTCTTGACATCCTCATCGGTCGATTGTCTACCTGACATTGTGAATCTGCCCGCACCTTCCACGTTGGTCATGTCACAGGCACCAGGGCGAGTGCCGTCCAGGTACCTCGAGCAAGAAAGCACGGGGCTCCCGCAAACTCTTGGAGTCGCAATCCCCGGATGTTGGGCAAATCACCACGGCCCGACTCTTGGGAACAACGCGATCTTCGGTCTGGAAAAACCGCGGATCAACCATGCCAATCCAAGACAGCTAGGGCACATGTCGCGTGCAACCTCAGCTTCCGAGAGACACAAGCAACGGATGGGCCAGCTCGGTGCCACAAACGCTTCTGTGCCCTCCTGACATCTGGCCATGGGTCAAAGCCCAAATCGTACCCCCAGTGAACATCCCAATCCAACCACTAAAATAGGTTCTAAAATGGGTGGTGAATTCACCTACCCCAAAATGGTACCAAAACGGTCTTGACCCTCAGCCATCTCTGTTTAGAAGTGTTCGCTGCTGAGTCCGCCTCGCCTTTGCTCTGAATTGTCAGACCTCTTGAGCGCGGTGCACTCATCGACAGCTTGCAGTTGGGAGGTATGTGCGTCTTGTGCCACCAGAGTCGAGTGTTGATACCTTGCAAAGCGGCCCCGAGCAAGCGAAGCCCTTCAACTCCTGCTTTGCATTCGCGGAAAAATGGATCTTTGATGTATTGGAGCATTCATCCCCTACTGCCCAACGTTGCCTGAAGCAATTCCGGAATTCCAGCCATGATGTCAGAAGCAAAAACACTCAGCCCGACTGGATAGCAATGCTCCATGTGTTCGCATGAGAGAAGTCAAGCGCAAAACAAGTATTCCACAAGAGATACATGGTTGATTGCGGTCTTGGTAGGGTGCGAAACGACACGCTTGGCTCCCGTTGAACTGCTGTTAGGCTGCACAAGACATCGCCCTCCTTGCAGTGCACGCGCACACGGCCAGCACCCTTCAGAGATGGCACCTGACAAAGAAGAAAACAAGATGATCAGTTTACTTGCCCAGGGAAGCACAACAAGGACATCCGAGGGATGAACCTTTTTCTCCTGACACGCCTGCCGCCATATTGTCTAATCTTGGTGGCGAAAGAGCATGACAAACTTTGCGCAGACCATCCTTCGGAAAAGCACATTCTGGGCCAAGACTTCACATTCTCAACCATTGCACGCATCAACTTGCGTTTCATGCACGCAGAGTGGAAAGGGAGTCAATGACAGAGTTTGGTGCCTGTGCCCGTTCATTGGCTGAAGGGTTGGTGTCTCCCTTTGACTTTGCATGCGGTTCTCACATCCAGTTCGTTGAGATTGCAAACATTGCTGGATTGATCCGACAAGTCTCTTCGCGAAGTTCTTTCTCCAACACATGTGGAAGCAGCAAGCACGGTGGCGGAGCGGCTTCAGTTAGCCCTGATTGAAGCACGAGAATCAAGCCATAGATCAGGGATTCTCCCATTATCCACCCAAAAAAAAAACGAATGTTGTTTCCGTTTGCTCTGGTGGAAACCGTCATGCTTCACATGGCCAAATTGGCAGAATCGTTTAGGGAGCCCTGTAGACCGTGGCACCTGCTTCTGCAGCTCAGCTGTGGGGGACAAGGTCCAGACCTGCATCTCTCTTCCGGTATTGAGGCATGCCTTTTTGGGGGGACAGCTTCTTCGTGGGTATTTATTTCCATTGGGGACGCTTTGGTGGACATCTGTTTTTATCCGCCAATGTTTCAAGGTGCCCCCCCCCCAAAAAAAAGAGTTCATGGCCAAATCAAACTAAAAAACACGTTGGAGATCCCTTTTGGGACACATGTCCATTCCAGCAAATCACATGCGTGGAAAGTCGCAAGATTGAAGGCGTGTTTCTTGGTCTCGGGGCAATCCGAATCTACAGCTGAATCCGTGACGGGCACTTGCATTTGGTGCTAGGCTTGGCAGAGCGCGCCAAACAACCGGGCCAATGGAAGATAGCCTCAGCATCTAACAGAAGCCAACAAGCGCAAGATGATTTTGGCACTTGATCCCACCCAAAAAGCGGAACCAGGGCCATTGAGATCATGTCGATTGAACTTCTGAACCGATGCTCAAAACATGGATTCAATTCCCCAGCATTCACTTGAAAGTGATTCACAAATCAAGGGCAAGATGGAAAACCACCACAAGAGAGGTTCCCATGCTGCGTGCTGTTGGGCGCTTTGCCTGGCGTGCGGCGAGCTTTTCCACGAAAGCTGGAGGGTGGCGTCCCATGTTTCTCACATGGGCAAAGCTCGCAGAAGGCTCGGAGCTTGCAGCGGTTCATGAGGGTCTGTTGCCGAGCACCTAATGGCCACTCGATAGCGGTTCAAGGCATCCTATCGATATGTGGCAGCAGATCTGTCCCGACAGGTCTAAAAGCTGATTTGGCATCTTGCACGTCCATGGGCATCTTCTCGTCGCTATTGCAATATGTTTGGCTTCTCCTTGAACAGCCTGAAGCACTTTGATGAATCAAAGATCTGAATGTGGCTGCGAGGAAGATTCATCTAGCATAGCAGCTTTCTCTTCCCATCTTCGTATTGCAGCCTGAAGGTCAGCAGGCATCCGCAGTAGGTTCTGCTCATCCTCCACAACATGTTTCACTCCGAGCTCCAGTCTCCGAAGCTTCTCTGGCACAGCAGATCTTGCCTGGTCTTGAACAAGTCGCCACATGTCCACCACTGCCCTCACCTCCGCCTGAGAGACATCTCCATCCTCATCGAGGTCAAGAAACGTGGCGTGGTCTTCCTGCCGGCCAGATTTCCTTCGAGCGCTCTGAACCAACCGCTCGATCTGCCGCCACAGTTCCACCAGGTCGGGCGTGAATCGGATACGCGGCATGAAGTTACGCATAAAGATGGTGGGCAGGGGCGCATTGAATTGCCAAGTGACCGAAGCGGCCGGAGTCTTTCCTTCCACCATTGTTTGATGAATAAATCCTGGCCCAAAGAACAAGGAATCCCCAGGATAGAGCACCACGTCTTCGAAGATATTCCAGGACAGGTGCTCTGGGCGGCTATAGATCTGGCCGTCCTGATACAGCTTCATCACGTGGGGCGCATTTCTGGGCTTCACGGGGGCCACTCGCCAGCGCTTTTCTCCACAGAGCTGGAGAGTCCAGGTGGACTCGGGGTGCGTGTCCACATGGGCCTTGGCACCTCCCGCACTGCCGCCTGGCCCCACAACTCCCCCGAAAAGGTCTTTGACATGGCAACCAAAGGTTTGAAGTTTGAAAGGTCAGGGGGAAAAATGAAGGGACTCCTGGCCTTGCACAAACCAGAACTCTGGGGTGCGCCGCAGAGTCTCCAGGTTGGCTCGTCGCATGAAGGGCGGCACCGTTGTGTGCTCCTGAACAAAGGCCAAAACTTCTTTCGTCCAGGAAGCGCTGTAGTGGGGATCATCTGCCAGATCAAGAGGGTCTTGAAATCCAACATCCTTGATGCCCACATAGTATGGCGATGCCTCTTTGTCTGACTTTGAAGTCGAGTGTGGGTCCATCACATCTTCTAATGCCATCCACTGCGGCTGCCTTGAACTCTTGTCTGCATACTCCCTTCGACCAAGGACCTTCCGCAGCACAGCATTCTCCCGGAAGAACTCGCAGTCCCAGCGGCGCATCGGATGGGACTTGAGGTCTCGCACCACAAAGGGCCGGCCCTCCCGCACCAGCTGGTCGAAGACTTCGGGGCGTATGGCATCGGTGAAGTTGAGGACCGGAAGTCCCCCAGAGCTCCGGGCCGGCTGGAGGTTCCCGACGCCTCGGAGCCAGTAGTCGGGCGCGGGCTCCCAGGCGTGCGCTGCTAGGAGAGAGCCGAGGACAAAGATTGTCCGCATGGCGAAGCGCATGCTTGAGCTGGTGCAGCTGAGCTGCACAGGGCAGCTGGGTAGAAACTGGAAAGCCTAAACACAACCAACCCCAAAGTGTTCATGGGCTGAAGCAACTCCCACTCTCTCTCTCTCTCTCTCTCTCTCTTCTAGCCACTCAGCGCCACTCAGCCACTCAGCGCCACTCAGCGCCTTCTCCCCCTTCAGCTGCACATGCCATGTACCGCTGTGCTGAATGGCATCCTAGGTCGACACGCATCCCAAAGCCGAGCAAGAAAGGAGTCGCCAGTCACCAACACATCGGTCCAAACTCATAGAGCCTTCGCGCCCATCGCAGCTTCAACCTAGCGCCTGCGGTCAAGGCGCAGTGTGCTCAGGCCGCCCTCGCAAGGCCCGCTGCCCACTGTTCCTGGCAAGGGCATGCGCAGGTGAACCGCTCAACCAATCAAAAGCCTGTTGATGGACGAAAACCACTTCGCGCCAGTTGCTGGGCTCTCCAAAACGCTTTCCCTGCATCGTCCTGCCAAAGAAGACCCAGGCAGCCCGGGAATGTCGAGGAGCCTTGGCCTTGGCCTTGCCATTCGGCCTGCCGCATTGCAATCTTCATGTGGGGAGAAAGAAGCTGAAAGTCACATCGATTTGAAGTCACCTCTTTTGAAGGAGAGCATTGCTGGACTTTGGTGCAAGCGCGCAAGCCATTTTTTTCAAACGACGTGACTCTGGGCAACTTTTGAGCTCGAGCCTGGAGTCTTTGAGACCGCTGGTGCGCTTCCTGACACCAGAAACTGAAAGCTAGCAGAAACTGAAAGCTACCTCTCCTTCGCAAGCCCGGTCGTGGTGCAATGCAACGCTGAATTCGACTGGCTCTTCCAAATCCAAAAGGTTCCGAAACAGCACTCAGCTCAGAAGGCTGATCAGCCAAACCTGAAAGCTCGGACACAGACCAAACATTCCACCGAACGCCGCGGGTTTGAACAGGGCTAGGCACCTTCTTCAATGCAAAGTGCTGCTCACCCAACATGGAGTTCCACAGGTCCACAGGGTTTGCGCAACTCCCCGTTCCATGGAAGTCGCAGTGTCAGCCTTTCGTGCCATTGGTCCCAGGTGTCAATCAACTTAACTTGAATGACCAATACAAGCATAAGGTTCAAAGGTCGGCAGTTTTTATGGTGATGATAAACTTCAATCATAACCTAAATCATTACCAAAATCATTATTGATCATAACCTTAGTCATAATCTAAACTTTTATCAGCTGTATAGTGAAAACCAAGGAATGTCCAGGAAATGCCGGTTCCGTCCTAGGCCCATGCCCCAACATCGGTCTGCCCGGATGGCTGCGCCCGGATTTCCGCTCCAAGGCGCCGGGACTCCCATACCCGCTGCCCAGGCCGCGGAGACGCCCGTGGGGCCGGTGGTCTCCATGGTTGTGGTCGTCATCCTGGGATGCGGAAGACGAAGCTGTGTGGCCATGCATATTCGGGTGTGGGTCACAAATGGGCATCCATTTTGGAACCCTGGCAAATGGAACCAAAGACTAAAACCTGCGGTCCCCTGGTGGCTCAATTTTGACCCACAGCCATATGGGTGTGGCTCAAAATTAAAGAGCTGGGGGTTGCGGGTTACGCAGGCTTTAGTCTTTGTTTCCGTTTACCATGAGGCCATTTCGGGTACATCTTTTTGAGCATATGGCCACTGAGTCAAAACCCAAATCGTACCCCCAGTGAACATCCCAATTTCCCCAATAAAATAGGTTCGGAAATGGGTGGTGAATTCACCTACCCCAAAATGGTACCATTGGTTTTGACCCTGGCAAGTGGAAACATGGACCAAAACCTGCGTAACCCCTCCTGTTTCATTTTGAGCCATACCCATCTATGTATCCATTCATATGCCGTCCCTGCGGCCACTCTCAATTTGACACAACACGCGAATTCTGCGGTTTGGAGTGAGAAGCACGTGAGAGGGTGGCGGACGAAACGTCTTCACGCCCGCGGACATCCCCGTCTCACGGTCGCTCGCGCCTGGCAACCTCGCATCGAGGTCGTGGCCTTCTGGAGTCCACGTCAGGTTTTCGCAGGTTTCCAAGATCGGCAAGGTTTAGCGCCACGCGGGCGTGCTGATAGAACCCACATGAGTCATAGTCAAAACCCGGTAGTAAACTGGTCGTAATCCCAGAACCGTGTGGAGAATTCGGAAGGCGGCCGCAGCTATTTATGGTTGGACCCGGGTTTTGATTGTGGCTCACATCAAGAACCTTCGCATGAACAGGACTGAGAGTGGGCGTTGTTTGGCCTACTACACATCACAGAGCGGCTTCTTAAAGGCGGAGGGCTTTGACACGGCCAGCGCCCGTGCTCGGAAAACCCCAGGCTGTTCAAGCGGCCACGAAGTAGGTTCCTGCGTTCAGCTTTGTCACGCGAAGACAGCAAGCTTTTTTCGATGCCTGACGGTTAAGCAAAATGATTTGCTCAACGCGCGCGAGAGAGAGAGAGAGTGGGAAATGCGTGTTCTGTCCGCAATTTATGCCCATCACCCGCAGAAAGAACCACAACATAAGCATCATTGAGATCCAAGATGCGCTTCTGCCAAGCTGGCTCCAAATCTACATTCGTATCTCCTCCATCAACACGAACAGGTAGATTATGTGTTCGCAATAGCAACCATGAGGTGGCAAAGCTGTGTATGGAATCAGCGCTAAACAGCTCTCAAGATACACGTGAGCCATGACAGTACTACTTCTTCCTGACGGGACATGGAAGACTGGGTGGGCTTCATGGTTTCCACAGGGAAATGTGGGTGGCCCTCCCCAAACTAGCAAGCGTCTTACATAATGTTATTCGTTGCTGACACGCGTTCCTTGTTTACTCCTTCTGTGTTGTTGCTTCTTTATGTTGTTGCTTTTTCTCTGACATACGTATAGGTTGCACGCATGCCACACACGCGCACACATGCGTGGCGGCTGGTGGCTGACCATCGCTGGAAAAGGTTGAGTATGTTTGCAAGGGTCTCCAAAAAAAAGAAGACCCAAAGATGGGCAAATCACTCGATCATGGGTCCGTGCCAACGCCGGCCAAACAGACCTTCCTCCTGCACCAAAAGCTCGCAGAGACTGGCTGCGACCACGCGACGTCTCGCCCACGTTGGTGATGCCCACGCCGCTGCAGTTGGCGCTCTTGGCGCAGGTGCCGCCCGCAAGCAGCTCCTCTGCGAGACCCGTCACTCACCTTTTCTCGGCTCGGAAAGGTGTGAAAACAGAAACCACGCATTGGCCAACTTTGAAGAACCAAAAGGAGGCTGTTTGCACAACTTGCGTTTAGACAGGTTGAAACGCTGAAGCTTCTGGTTGGGCTAGCCCTGCCCCATCACCGGCACCCATCACTCACCCTTGCCGGCCAGTGCTCCCAGATGTGTGTGCCCAAGTCCAAGCTAGGCGGCCGATAGCATGACGGGCACAACTAACAAGAAATGCCGCCGTTTGGCACGACAGACAAAAAGGAACTGTTCTGACTGCTGGGGACCCCGCACAATCGCACCCTCCATCATTCATCATTTCGCCTTGGCTCTGCATGCCGACGCTGGCAACAAGCCCGCGCCCGACTTGCACAACAGAAGGAAATCGACCGGATCATCACCACGTTGAAAAGAGAGAAGCAAGCTAAGGCAAAGTCAGCAAGCTCAGAAGTCCTCTTGCCACGTGGCATTGCGTGGTGTTCCAGTTCCCGCAAATGGCACCAGTTGCGGACTGCATCAGCAGTGCGATGGCAGCAAGCCTGACTTGCCAACGTCTTCACTCACCTATGAAGGTGTGGTGTTGGAGGGCGAGTACGATGAAGCAAAAGTACCAGCTTTGCCTCTAAACATGAGATGAAGCTTGTCTGAAGAATCGCACACTCCCTCTCTCTCTCTCTCTCTCGCTCTCTCCCTCTGATTCAACGCTTCAGTTCGGCCGACGTCCCATGCGATGTGTCCAGCCTCATCGCCATTTCCCCCTGCTTTTGTTCCGCTTTTCAGCGTCGAGGGTCGGCTTGAGGGCAAAAGACTCGCAGTAAACCAAGTGAGCGAAAAAAAGGCAATGCAGCTGAGAACCGCGCTTGCTCGGGCTCGCTAGTTGAAAAGATGTCGTGCGTCTATATGCGCTTGTATCAATCCTTCTGAGCCTGTGGCCTGTTGAAAGCAAATCTGAGCTTTGGCCTTTTCGTGAGTGGCGGCAATTTGGCTGTGGCTCAAAAATCCGGCACCAACATGGCTTGCCCTGGTAAGTGGAAACATGGTTGCCACAACCTGCGGTTTGCCCCTTCTGTTTCATTTTGAGCCCGCCTTTCGGGCTTGGGATGCCAGGGACGAGGGACTAACCGACGAACCCTGCAACGCTCCAGGCCTCAAGAAGTTTGGCACCTGAGACAGCCGGCAGGCGCCCAGGTCGAATTCGTTCTGCTGGTTTCCTGACCCGTGCTTTGGCACGCTGACGATGCAGCGGCGGGTTCCAATTTCAAAAACGCTCATGGCTGTAGCAGGAAGGTTAGTCGGAAGCTAGCGATTTGTTTTTGAAGCTTTCCCTTTAAGCCAACCCAAGAGCGAGTTGAAAGCTAGCAATTCGCCCCGCGCAAGGCGCTTGCTCAGCCTCCGGGCGCCCTCTGGCAGTGCTTGCGCCAGGAACTGCTCCAGGGCGCACTTGCTGCCTCGAGGCAAAAGAAGCCGGCGAAGCGCGAGGTGTTTTTTTTGGGGGTGGGGAAACCAGGAGTGGTACAAAAACGGGCCCATCCTGATTCTTAGGCTGTGGCTCAAGAAACCGGTACCAAAATGGAACCCTGGTAAGTGGAAACATGGACCAAAACCTGCGTAACCCCTCCTGTTGACCCACAGCCGCTTGGACTTTTTGAGTGCAAACCCCTTTTCACCTTGATTCCCTTTGAAGGCAAACCAAAACGTGCAACGTACTGCCCAATGATCTTGGCGGTGGCTCCTGAACGCTCATGCGTGGCTCCTTGGCTCCAATATCCATGGCCGGGGGAAATCTGCGTTGCTGCGTTGAAGCGAATGTTGGCTCATCGTGTTACTCGTTGGGTTGTAATCCCAATGGAAGAAACCGTACTTGGCTCCAAGAGAAAAAGGCAAACAAATTGCCAGAGACGCGCTTTTCGGATTTCCGCTGCGAATGGATCTCAAAATGATGGCTCTTCTGGAAAGTCATCTTCCAAAGACTTGCTCTTCGGGAATGAGCCATCCATGGTGAATAGCCCTGCTCACAAATATGAAGCCAAAGCCCCTGGGTACTAGCTTTGCTGAGAACAAGGGCAGGGTCCGCGCTTGGTGAGTGGGTTTGGGGTAAGCACCGACGTAGCCGTTGCTGGGTCCCCAAGTGAGTTGCGAATCTGAGTTGTTTGGTCGTACAACCTTCAGCCCTTAGTAACAAAAGACATTGGTCAAACTTTAGCGATCTTCATGGCAGCAATCACCAAAATTAGTGTGAATGGGACAAATACGCCTCTATTAACCAAGCAACTTGGTACGTTTGCCAACATCTGAGGCCAGTATTAGTATGAGGCATTTGCGGTTGACCAAAACATGGCATGTTGCCTTGGCCAAGAATGCGTACAAAGCGCCAGTGTAATCAAAAATGGGAAGAGCCTTCAATGCACGGTCCCGCTGCACTGAAGGAAATACAAGCGGATGTGTGCTGGGAGCGCCATAGCCGTTGAAACTTGCTGTGGCTTTCCTTCCCGCAGAAATCTGAAGGATCAAAGAGCAAGGCAGTTCAATGTCTGCGCTGGGCGCAGAACGCTGCAAAACAAATGAGGCATACCAGGAACCTGCACCCAGCAAGTCAAGAATGCAGGCGCACGAATGGCAACGCACATGGCTTACTCTCGCAAGCGGTCGAAATGAAGAACCTTGGACCAATGAGGGTATTCAAAAGCATCCTAACCCTTCGTGACATCTGCAAGCTTTGCCCCAAAGCCATCAGCTTTGCCGCCTGAACAGCTTTGCCCAGATTCTCCGAAACTGGGAAAGTCAGAGCAATTGGCCCACGATCTCTGTCAGCCAAGCGATCAAGAAATACAATTGCACTACATGAGTCCCACCCGATTGTTGGCGGTGTTGCATCCCATCGCGACATCACTTTGCTCCTTTGGACTGGTGCTTCTGATGGAGACCCCTTGTGCACCACGATGGGAGGGAGAAAATGGCAAATGTCGTTCTTTAAAGTGAACACCTGAAACAGAGAATCACTGAGCGAGAAAAATATGACGCTCTATTCCCTGTTCATGGATCCGTGGCTGTTATCGCAGAAGGTAGCATGAATTTGTCTAAGGGAATGATGCATTCGCACCAGTTGCTGTTTTCAACAGAGCTAGGCCTACCAGAAGGAGCAGGAAAGCAAGGCAACGTAGCATTCCTAAACCACGGACTGGCTTTGGCTTGCAAAGCACAGCCAGGCACGCACAGCACAACGCATGAACGTGTGGCATGGTCCAGCAAGCAAGTTCTTGGTTTATGCCCTCTGCGTCGAATATAGTTGTGTTACAAACTCTAAACTTAACATAGTGGTTCTCTTGGTGTGGATCAGGTGGTTGGGGATCCAAATGCATGGATCCGAAATTATGGATCCGAAGGTATGGATTGGATCCGAGCGAAAGGATGGTGAACATGACATACACCGTCGTGCAAAAACGAATCCCTGAAGGGTTCACACACACACACACCATAGCTGAACTTCGGCCTGCAAATGGACTCAACAAAGGGGCCGGCACGCACGCGGGGAAATGCTGTAATGTTGGAACGCCGCTGAGGGCAAAATGGCACATTCTGGCGAGCACAATCAAAACCGTCCATGATTCGCACCCAGCTCGGCAGAAAAGCAAAAGAGCTCTGGGAAGCTAGCAAACACTCACGTGCGCATCTGGAACTCGGAGCCGTGGCCAGCTGCAATGCTTATTCCAGCTATAAGTTTGACGGGAGAGTGGGCCTAGCAACCACCTTTGAGGTGGCTCCTTACCACTCCATAGCCATAGCCCTTCAACCCCATGGAGCTGTGAGCTCACGGTCAGGCCCCGTCTCCCGCCTGGGGGCGGCCTCTGAGCCAAGAGCTTCTGAAGAGTCTCTGGCGCCGGCCGCCGCCCGCTCTCCAGGCCTAAGCTCGCACCAAGGAACTGGACCTGGGACCCGAATGGCCGGGTTTGTGCTGTGGACATAGGTGTCCTTTTGGAGAAAAGTGCATGGGTCTCCCTGGCAAATGGGGCACAAAACCCATCTAAACCAGTGCCTTCTATTTTTAACCGACCTAACCCAAAAAGGACACCTATTAGCCTGTGACTGTGGATTCAGATGAAGCTTGCCTAACGTAAAAACAAATGCAGGGAGGCCTGCACGAGAAGAAACATCTCAGCCCTGCTCTGGGCGGCTGGCTGAATGCTCGGCCTCGCGACTGCTTGAACATTCTTGCCACCAGTGTTCACAACGTGAAAAAACAATGATGCTCACACAAGAGGAGCTCCATAAATTCATGTAACAGCAGAAAATCTCTTCAGAAGAGTGGTTTCTGTATTATGACTGCATCCATGTAATTATACTGCCAGCATCCATCCATCTCTCTTGCTACCTCTGTTCAAATGACCAGGCGCCGTGCGCATCACGGCAGGATAGGCCTCTGCAAGCACTGGACTTAGGGCGCCAAAACGAGGCAAAGGATGCCACTTCTGCCAATGAGGCCATGTGAACGGCGCCGACCACTTAAACGCTCTCCACATCTCTATTTTTGCGTTGCGCTTTGGCCGAAGTCAACCTGCACTTTGGCCTGCAGCTAGGAAAAGAGGATCTCGGCTCACTGGCAACCGCAGCATGCGGTCGACAATGCTTGCCAGCCTCGGAGCCAACTTGTGCGATTCAACATTCGATACTCACCTACCCGAATGATACGTCTCTCAAACGTGAGCCGGCGATCATCCCAAGCAAATCAGATTCCAACACAAAAAACACGCTGAGCCAGGGTGGGGCTCGGAAGTCAGGGGTGACGCGCGGCTGGCAACTAAGCTCAGGGCTGCCCACAGCGGGGGCACCCGCACCACAGACGCTGGTGCCCACGCACATGCAGCTCGCCGGTCCCGAGCCAAGGCAAGGCGGCTTAGTTGGAAAGGTCTTTTTCTTTTTCTCTCTCTCTCTCTCTCTCTGCTTTTCCAAACTCCCACTGAATTTTCTGCTCTTGCTACTGCAATGAGTGGCCCTGGGCAAACAAAGTTGAAAGCAAGGCGTGCAAAAAGCAAGACAACCACTGCTTGAGAGGCCAAAGAAGCAGTCACGCTTGTGTCGAGCACACCGGTCTCAGCACTGTGCAAGCCCACTAGTTGCGAACAAGTTGCTGCTTGGCTCTTGTCGGGAAGGCTCTCGCACCAGGCCGGGATGGCGTTGGTCTTCGCGGTCACTTCGGCGGTGGCGTTGGTCTGCGAGAGCGACACGTCACAGCAGCCCAGGTAGGTGCCATCCAGCGCGGGGCAGCAGTCCCCCGCCAGCTTCAGATCCACGCAGCTGTGGTGCGCGGAGCACTGGCTCGCTCCGCCGGCCGCGGGTGCCACAGGTGCCACAGGTGCCACGGGTGCCACGGGTGCCGGGACGGGGGCCGGGGCCACGGCAGGGGCAGGCTGGCAGCCACAGCAGGAGTAGGAGTAGGACTGCCAGCTGCCAGCGGGGAAAGGGCCCCAGCTGCCGCAGACTGAAGGGCCCATGCAAATGCAACTGCCTGCGCCACCGTTGCAGGCAGCGATGCTGGCTCGACTGTACTCCTTGGCAAAGCCGCCCATCGACAGTGCTTCCCCTCGGCCCTTTTCTCGTATAGGCTGTGTTGTGGCTCCAGAATGCGGTAGCGCCCCAACCCGCAGTTTTAGAAAAAGGAAGATGCCAAATCTGCAGTCCCTGAGTCCCGAACCTTAACTTTGAGCCCTTGTAAAATGTCTGCTTTGTGCAAGCTAAGGCCCGCTCCGGAACAGTGTAGCACCAGAAAGGCGCATAAGACTGCACCACCTTGCGCTCAAGCTTTCCGACCTCAGAAGCTCTGAACCCCAAAGAGCCATGGTCAATACATGTGTGGCTCTTGTAAACGAAATCGAAAAGTTGGGGCATCCCCCTCTGGCTTTTGAGACACATGTCAGCCCCTGTGGTTTTTCTCTATTTGTTCTTAATACGATTCCACCTTCGACCAGGTAGAAACAACCACCCATGGCCATCGACCTACTGGATGCTTTGAACGAACCTCACCTAGCTCTGGCCACTCCGGCCACTCTGAGAACCTCTCTCACGGGGAAGCAGTTGATTGCGGCTTAGCCATCTGCTTGGACCAGGGATCGAGGCTCTTCCACAAGCTGGTTGCACACAGAATTCGAGAAAAAGAACCTAGTACGGCATGTCGATGGTACAGCTGCAAGACAGGGTGAGCAACTTCTTTGCATTCATGATGCTTCTTTTGGCAGTCACATTGACTTGTGATTCTACATCAAAATACACATAAAGGTCCAGCGGGGCCCTACTGTAGTCCCATTCAACCAGGTAGTAGAACCGCCTACAGTTACGAAGTGGCCAATACTATGGGTTTTGTCCGCTGCTCATGTTGGTGCAGGCCGAAGTGCCGCTAGGCGAGTCTGCAGCAGCTCCACCTTAAGATCCTGACACTGGCAGTTTGGGCGGCAAGAAGGGGAACCTTCTGTGCTGAGAAACCAACAGGAAACCAACCAGGGAGGGTTCCCATTTGTCACCCTCTCATCCTACGTTCAGGTCTGGAGTCGCTTCAAAGTCGCGCCTGGGCTTCTTGCTGCTCAAAATTCTCGATGGCGCACGAGTCAGATTCGCACGCCTCACCTTGGCGCATGTCCGTCTAGCACTCCGAAATTGAAAAGCTGAGGCTGCATTCTTGCACGAGTCGGGCAAAAATGTGTTTGCTTTCCCGAGTCAGGCGGGGTCCCGTGTCCCACCATGTCCTCCCCAACCTGCAATAAACTACCGGGTTCGTTGCTCACATCATGCTGCAGGCCAAGGCTGGCACTTGCGGCTCCCAAGAAGCATACGAATGCAACGGCGACTCGAAGGTGTGCCATCTCTACACCTCAGCACTCATCTTGAGATGGCCATGGGTCAAAACCCCGTACCCCCAGTGAACATCCCAATCCCTACTAAAATAGACTAAAATGGGCGAAAATGGTACCATTGGTTTTGAACCATGGCCATATCTGTGGACTCAGGTGGCACCTGTGTCTTGTTTCGCAAAACCTGTGGCCAAGCTGAAGCGATCTGCGAAAGGTCTTCCGCTCGGCGAATGCGGTCGACGAGGTAGGCGCCGGGCTTTTTGGACCAGCTTTTCGGAAGGGTCTCGAGTGCTGGACGCTGCGGGAAGAAAACGAGTGCGGTACAATACCCACCTCACACACCTGGCTTCTTTCTAACATTTGCTCAGCACCAGGCTTGGGCCAAGCCCTTGTTGCAACAACCTCCCTTTGCTTCCCCTTCAGGGGGGAAACAAAAAACGCGGGGCTGGTTCTTTAAAACGAGTCTTGCCCGACCCTGCAAGGGCTCGCACCCGGGATGGAGTGCACAAGAGCTTGGGTGGAATGACCGTCGCGCGACGAGACCCGGCGGAGAGGTCGGCCGACTTTCTAGGGCTAACTTCCCCATTCTTTCCAGGGATCCGAATCTTTCTAGAAAGCCACCAAAAACCCTGGGGAAATGGCGATCGGTTTTTGAAAAGAACAATGGCTGAAAAGAATGGAAGAGGAATCAACCCCTAGAAGGCTGGCCCTTTGGGGCCTTTTGCTAGCTTCATTATTTTACCATGATCAAAGTCACCCCGGGGTGGTGGGTTCAAGAGAATCAACCCCTAGAGACTTGGCATCTCGCCGCATAGAGTCGCCGCAAGGTGGCGAGCCCCACTCTCCCACGCCTCAGAAGAACCACATGGCGGGCGGTTCCAGGCCCTTGAACCAAGTCTTGGGTATGAGAAACGTCTCACATTCAGTAGGGGACTCGAAAAATGGACCGCTGGTTGGAATCCTTTGAAACCAACTCACTGCCTCGCTCGGTGTCTGGGCTCTGCGCTTGGTGCATGCACCTCGCCTGGCCCCGGAGAAATGTCCATACTCAAGTCAGAAAAGTCTCTGCGCGCGAGCGGGAAAGCAAACCGGGGGCTTACAAATGCGAATGCACAGTCACGAGGCGTGCACGGAGACTCATGTCCCGTGCATCTCTGTTTCATCCCCCAAAAGGCTCCCCCCCAAACGGCCCACGCGCCTGGGCACAAAGAGCACCTGGTGCCAGCCAAAGGCCTGGTGAAAGCCCTGGCCGCAAAGGGAGGTGTTGCCATCGAAGCCAAAGCCTACCCGTTTTACCCCCGCCTGCCTATCTCGTTCCCGGTGCGACATGTGTACAGCCACTTACATGTGCGCAACTACAGGCAAGCGGTCCTTTGCGATCACAAGTAGGCAACCAACACAGCGAAGGCTGTGACCCATTGATGAGTGACCACGGGGTGCAAGCTGTGCGAAACTAGCTGTTGACAGCGGGGAAAGAAAGGATTGCAGGTGACGAAAGAATTGCAATAAATACCTGCATCCCTAGCAACATACAGAGAAGGAGTCCAAAACAAAGCAGATTAAGGCAACTAGTGCCCACAAACAGCACGATAAACTCAGGCAAACAGTTGGAAAACTTGGCCGGACCTTGGCACAGCCAGCTCTAAAGGATCATGCCGAATGTGCCCTCATGCTTCCTTTGGTTCCCTTGTTTTTTTCGTTTTCTTGGTTCAGGGGCTCTCACATCATCCGCCTGAAAATTTCTCCCTAAATAGTGACTTACCCAGTTGAACATAATTTGATCTGTGGCCTGGTGGTAAAAAAAAATGCCATGTTTCAAGCCAAATCATATCATATTTGTTTTGAGCCCTGGCGATTCGCATCTTTGGCGCTTGAAAAACCTGCCTCCAGCGTGGCAGCGCTGGATGCCAGCTGCGGCACCACATCGGCTTTTCGGCGCTTGCGCCCGCTCATGAGGCTCCAGGGAATCGGATCGCTCTCCGTTCAACTTGCCACTCCTTTGTACTCGTGGGTCCGATCGCCAAGGAAGTGACTCGAACTTGGGCTTGCTTCCTATGTGATCTCCGAGAGTTGTGGTTGTCACTGCAAATCTGTCCTTCGCGGATATTCACGAAGTACCGTCATTGTGTCGGCGAAGGTTTACTGCTGTTCACTGTCAGCAAAACCCGGCCAGCAACCCATGAAAGCAGGTGCACATGACTGATCTTTCCATACCGATGTGGATTGGCTATTGGCTGATGCTCCTGTATCACACGCCTTTTTCTGGGATGCCTTCCAACAAGTTCAAAAGTCAAGGCAAGCAATGGGGAAGGCAGGTGTAAGCAGACAGGCTCGGTCATAAGAATGTTGCATCCAAACAAAGCTGCGTGGTAGCCACTTCGCAAATCACAAAAGCAACAAGCCTGCCAAGAGCTGCACATCTGCAGAGATGGGTCCTACCGGACAAAGCCTAAAGCTTCGAGGATTCGTCCCTCCATCGCCCTTAGGCGCAAGGGTTGCGGAACTTCTCCCCGGCGTAGACTGCCTGGCAGTAGAAAACCCCGTGGAGCTAGAAAATGAGCACGATCAGTTTAGGGTCCGGACCATAGGTGTCCTTTTTTGGTTAAAAATAGATGGCCCTGGTACATGAAACAAAACCCATCTAAACCATTGCAAACCTACTTTTAACCAAACTAACCTACAACGGACACCTAATGTGGATGGACAAAATCCTGCACCACTTTGAAAACATGGGAACCCACTGTTCGTTGGTATTCACGGGGGAGTCAAATCAGAAACCAAGGTTTCTTAGGTGGTGCGAAATGGATGTCGCAACCATCCACAGTATGGTTCAGACTCAGACGGCTTTGCTTTTGTCACAAACACATTGGCCACGCCTTTGAGCCCAGCTCCTCCTCGATCCGGAGAAGCCTCACAAGTACCGGTGCCCCGCTCGACGCTCGGCGAAAACTGCTTTCCTATTTGGTTGTGGGTCAAAATTAAACCACCAGGACCGCAGGTTTTAGTCCTTGGTTCCATTTACCAGGGCTCCATTTAGGGTACCCTTTTGTGATCCACACCCCATTTGGCTGTGGGTCAAACGAGGACTACCCAATCTGGCTTGCCCTGATAAATGGAAACAAGGACTAAAACCTGCTGTCCCCTGGTGGCTTAATCTTGACCCATACGATAGTTATCATCACGGTCATCATCAGGATCATTCATGGTCCTCACCATCACCATCATCATCATCATCATCATCATCATCATCATCATCATCATCATCATCATCGTCATCGTCATCGTCATCGTCATCATCATCATCATCATCATCATCATCATCATCATCATCATCATCATCATCATCATCATCATCGCCATCATCGCCATCATCGCCATCATCGCCATCATCGCCATCATCATCATGATCATCATCGTTGTTATCATCGTCTGCTTGCGCCACTTGCAATGCCAGGGATGCATGATGATGGTTATCACCGGAATCCTTGTATCATAGTTAAGATCAGCATCGTGGTTGTCATCAGCGTCTCCTTAAAGGGGGCCCCTGCACTTCAATGTTGGTGGGTGGGTATTGTTTGGGGTGGGGTGGTCGCGCCGCAGATTTCGGTTGTTTGGCAGGTCTTGCAAACACGCCGACGAGGGTCCACGAGTTCGCTGGATCTGACCACGTCAGCACCCTCTTCGCGCACTTAGAAGCCATGAATTTGATGCTCAAGCGCTCCATCTGAGCCATGCGTTCAGGCTGAACAAAAGCACTCGCGAACATATTTTGCATGCCAGCCTGAGCACCGAAAGTCCTTTCGAATAGCGTGTTACAAAAAAAAATAATAGCAATGGCCTGAAGGCTAAAACGCAAATCCAGCTAAGGCAGCTACTGGTTGTACTTTGCCAAGCGCTCGCTTCGGCAGGGTGCGCCAGTCTTGATCTGTCCTGACCAAGAGATTGATAGTACCGCAGTGCGGCCGTTACATACTCCCCTGCAAACTAACATGGAACCCAAAAAGGAATGTCCATGTCCATCTGCAGGAGAGAAAGCATCAGCTCTTACAAGAAAACGTGAGGATCCTGTGCGCAGTCCCACGACCAGGTCAGCAATGAAGGAATCCTCACAGGGCAATTTCCATCGGTTGCGAGTCGCTCGCATTCGAAATTTAAGAAACGTCCTCAGTCTCTCCAGATCGGTGGGAGACCATGACACCCCAGCCGTTCATCATGGACCTAAGGAACGCAAGTGTTCAGCCTGCTTGGATTGTCCGCGTACAAAACATGGCGCAATCTGAGGATCAGGGCATGTTGGCCGCATCGATTGCCTCTGAGATCGATCCAATCTGGTTCACCTACGGGTAAAAGGCGCAGGTAGCCAGCACACTGGTTCAACACAACGGGAAGGAACTGAAAGCGCCTTCAGAAGAAGCGCGTTGCAAGCCTGGGTCGAAACAGCTTGCCAAACGCGAAATATCTTCTCAACTTGAACCATGTTGAGTCAGTCGGAGGCAAGGCGGCATCTCTCTCTGTAAAATGCCAGCTTTTGCGCCAAAGTCATCAGAGCAAGTCATGCTGAGGTCCTCTGGGCTGCGAGCGCCGACCTCCAGCGCCTTCCCGATGCGCTTGGTGTTGGTAACCAGCCTGGGTGCACCAGCCGCCCGATGCGTCGAGTTGACTGGGGATATGCCCAGTCTGATCCGGGCATGACGATCCATCCCGACATTTTGTGTCAACAAATATCATGGCAGAAAGCGGGAGACTCTGAGCGCTTCACAGGTCATCCCCCACAATCTGAATGTCCTGACTGCACAACAATTTGATACAATTTGACTCAGAAACCTTCCTCCCCAGAACGTCCTTGCCGCACTTGGCGTTGAACTCGGCATACGCCTCCCAGTCATCCTGGTCGAATGGATCCTGGACCAACTCAAGGCATCTCTGTGTCGCCCTCTCATGGCAAAAGCAATCACTCACCCTGTGCATTGATTCGAGGATGTGAAAAGTGCACAAATAATGTCATGAAATGGACTTGTAATATGTCCTCGCAAAGTTAGAAGAAAGTGGACAGTCCCTCAGGCAAGTCCTCGATGGAGACGAAGGGGTACTTGGCAAACCACTCCTTTCACAGGCACGCCCGAGAAGAACGCAGTCTCTGGCCAGTCGAGCTGCCCTTAAACCGCGTTAGAAGGCTTGACAAATACGGCCAATGCGCTGCTTGCTTTGAAAGAATCGAATTATGGGGAGTTAATTGGCAGGTGTGCAGCATGGTTGGTCCTGGTAGTAAGCAGCCATTTGGCCTGGCAAATCAGCGGAATGTGCAGCCAATTGAGTTAAGCGATGATGATTTGTGACCGCAGGATTTGGCCCTTTTCGACCCTGTTGATTGCTTGAGCAGAGTAACATGACCAACTTCAAACAACTAGCTGCATGTCAACTTTTGCTTGCGGCGTCAATGAGAAAATGCAACCACCTGCTCAAACAGCCAGCGCCACTGCCGGTCTTCCAGTCGGCAGCTTTGCTCTCAGGATTCTTGAAATCCAAGTCGTACTTGCCCTCCTGCACATAGAGGACGAAGAACACACAATTGGCTTGAGCACAAGGGCGAAGCAGCTTAGGATGACCTTTAGGCCAAAGCAAATCGAATAAGCATGGCTGCAGCTGCAGCTGCAAGTGTCAGAACGTCGATCAGGCAGCTGGCTCCGGTCTTCCAACAAAGGCCACGAGTATGGGCCAAAAGCCAAGAGATGGGTGCCAAGAGCACTTGGACCTCTAAAGCCGGCTGCCAATCATGTGCAGTATCCAGATCTAGGCTGTCCGGGTCCTTGAAGAACTCAGACGCCGCCACATCCGTTCCGATTTTCACCTCAAACCGAATGCCCCAACTTCTTGGATTCATCAAAAGGATGTTGCCTCCAAACGCAATCTCCTCACAGGAACTGGCACAAGGGCCAAGCCTTGTCCTTGTGACCCGACTTCTCAAGGGCATCCATGAGGACGTCCAGCGCCTAGAGCCGCGCCCAAACAAAATGGAAAGCAGGGGCCACACTGATGCAGCACTCTGGGTGAGTTTTCCATTGGGGGGCTATTCCCCACATAAACCACCATTTGGGGTGAGGTCGTGTGAGGTCGTTATAATTCACCCAAATCACTGGAGGACTGCTCCTGAATGTCGGATTGGCCCAAAGATTTGCACGGGCCTCGTTGTTGTCTTGCACGGACGGCGCAAAGCCACCCTGCCACAGCATCAACAAAGCACTTGCTCGCCGGTGGGCCTTGACCGGACTTTGGTGAGCCTAGATCTTGGCTGGGATACACGGCCTTCGAGGGAACAATGCGGCTCAGCCCGCCTCGTCTCCCACATTGCAGGCATCCTCAGGATCGCTGGCGTGTCTGCTTGTCGGACTGAAAGCAGAAATGGCTGTTCTTCAAACTAGACCCTGAAAATAGTTGCGCTTCCTCTTGGTTTTCGTTCAAAAACCAAAACCAGGTCCACCTGGACATGTCGGCCTGCCCATACTTCTTCTTGATGCAGCTCTTGAGCGTGTGGTAAACCTGAAGCGAGGTTTGATCATCAAAATCTTGGCCCTCCAACTGGACGCTCCTAAATGAAAGCAGGCGACAGGTCAAGTTGTCTCTTTGTTCTGCCAACCGGGGTGGAACCGGGGTTGGGGTCTGACCCAGAGCCATCCATTCCAGTAGCTTCGAACTTTCGACATCCACAGCTCAAAACCATTTCGTCCACATCGATGTGTACCTTCTCCTTTGTGGGGGAACCCTCGTTGAGTTGGTGTTCAAAGGCGAAAGGGACACCATTGGACCCCAACCACATCTTGAGCCCAAGGGAAAGTCCTTTCGCCTCACAGCCGATGGTGAGGGCCTCCCTGAAGCTCTTGGCACCCACGGGCAGGATCATAAACTCCTGCGACGCATCCCACTCCGCCGAAACCATCCAGTTGGCAGCTCAGTATTCACAGGGTCTTACCAGGCAAAGACAAATCCGCCTTGGATCCACTGGAAATTGCAAAAGGAATTCAAGGTACAAAGCAAAGGAGGGGTCAGTTTGGAAGCTTGGCTTGCCAAACCCAAGACAACAAGGTGTGCTGAAGAATGCATCAAATTCCACTGGAGATTCCGTTGAAGTCGGGAATGAGCTGTTCGAGATACATCGCACATGTCCAAAGTATCAAGCAGAATGCCACCCTCCATCCTTTTGCCAGGCGTTGCCTTAAAAAAACATCTCATGTTCCCCCGGTCAGCTTGTCGCGGAATGCGACTCGCAAAGCAGCTGCCTGGCATGCCAGTCGGTTTCCAGCATGGCTGCCGCCGTTGATGACATTGAAAGACGGCACTGGCATGACCTTGGCATCAGCGAGATTGAGCCCCCTTTTCTCCTCCTCTGCCCGCCCCCAAAAGGCATGCTTGAACAGTCCAGAAGACGCCTCTTCAACTGATGTTACTGGCACAGCAAACCATTTCGATGTTTTGTCCCACCCCCCCCCCAAAGAGCCTTGAGGGTGCAACCCCCTTTCTGTCTCTTGCTCAAATTTACTACAAAAATGCGGCCACCGCCACATGTTAAGCTCATCCATCGATCACTGCAAAGTATGGCAACCAATTTGGGCAGCGACGTAAGAGTCGGTGGGCGGCCACCGCCACATGTTAAGCTCATCCATCGATCACTGCAAAGTATGGCAACCAATTTGGGCAGCGACGTAAGAGTCGGTGGGTCGGCCGGACAGGCTGGAGAGGTACTGGTACAAAGGCCTCAGCAAACCATTGAAAAGCATCCTGGATCTCATACACAGGTGCCATGATGTGAAAGACCAGGCTGGCAGCACATCAAGACACCGGTATCGCCGGCGCGAATGTGCAATCCACAAAAGCGTGCTTGCAACTTTGTCCCCCCCCCAAAAAAAAAAACGAAGAAGGCCGCCTTTGAAAACTTTGTGTTTCGAAACACACGCTCTGCCTCTCCCTGAGCTGGCAACATCTCCATGGACGCGGCACCCGCCCGGCACACCGCCATGGACACCGCCAAAATGGCGTTGGCGCCCAGATTGGACTGGCCGGCCGGTTGGCCGTGGGCGGAAACGGAAAGTTTGACTTGTTTAGAGGAATCGGGAAACTGAGTTGGCACCTTCTGCTTTCCCCAAAAAAAAATGGACCTAAACATGGGTACCTAGGGGACCCCAGTGGGGTTTGCACGTCTCCGGACTATGTGTCCCCAAACGGCCCAGAACCTGACGCTTGGGATCGATCGCCTTGGACCAGCCCCAGTCGTTCTGGGTGCCGTCCAGGATCTCCACCTCGAATCCCACCGGCCGAACCGCAACTTGCTTTACTTGAAATAGCTCGTACATATGGGTGTGGGTCAAAAATTGGTACCCAAAATGGAACCCTGGTAGAAGGAAACGTGGACTGCAACCTGCGGTCCCCTGGTGGTTTAATTTGACCCACAGCCATATGGGTGTGGGTCAAAATTAAGCCACCAAATAACCGCGGGTTTGGTCTTTGGTTCCATGTACCAGGGCACGCCATTTTGGGTACCTGTTTTTGACCCACTGCCATATGATGACGTCTTTAACTGTCTCCACTGCAAGCCATTGTCAGATGATGGCGAGCTGCTTCCTTCTCAGATTGGTTTCATCCAAATGCGAAGGCCCACTAAGCTGTGAAGCACTGTGTGATGGCACCCGTCTGGGTCCATAAAAGTGACATTCTCTTTTGCTTCCTCTGAAACCGCCCAAATTGAGCCACGTTTCGGGAGCCAGTCAATGCCTCTCATTCGCCAAATCTGAAGCCCTCTCACCTCTAAGCCCCGAGCCATCAGCTTGTCGATCTCCTTCTGCTTAGTCACGTCCATGCCCACCAGCTTGGGTGCAATCTTCTCGTTCACATTCTGCACCGCCTTGCCAGGAATTCCCCATCTCCAGGCCCCGGCCGGCCCGCGCGTTCCGAGCCTTGAGCACGCCCTTTCCCAGCAGCCGCTGCTTGTCTCCATCGCGCAGCTCCAGCGCCTCAACAGCGACAAGGATTGAAAACGCCCGTGAGACATGGCGCACTTGCCGGCGGTTAGCATCGATCGATGGTCTTGGTTTTTACCTTCCTGAGGCTTGTTGGAGTGTGGAAAGCATGGCCTCCTTGCCCTGGCACCAAACGGCACTCGGAGCAGCCGTTCCGGAGACCAGAATCTCAAGTCCCCAGACCGAGAAAGCGGTGGCAGGCTTTGGCCCCCTACACCCCGATGCGCCTCATAAATGCCAGTGGAGGCTCCACTGGGGACCGCGGCGCGGAAAAGGTGGTCCTAAGGAATGCACACTCCACATCTGGCCGTTGAACGTCTCGCTTGGCCGGGCTCAAAGCTTTGGCATCTTCGAAAGAGATACCCTCCCACCAGCTAACATGGAAGTGCACACACCCCTGTAGAACGACCTTCCTCTTGGTAAGGGCCTTTTTGCACTTCCATCTTAATTATTGGGAGGATACGTACATCAACCAACGGAAACATCACTTTCCACCCAAAAGCCACAGTGACTGAGGGGGCTGCGTTGGTCACCAGGTCAACCTGCAGCTCCATGCAGCTCGCTTGTTACGGCCGGAGCCCTGCTGGCCTCGACGGTGGGGTTACCGCGCGAGTCGAAGATCTCACGGGCCTCAACTCGTGCCAGATAGCACCCTCCTTTGTCCCTTCTCCCCTCCTTTTCCCCTCCTTTTCCCCTCCTTTTCCCCTCCTTTTCCCCTCCTTTTCCCCTCCTTTTCCCCTCCTTTTCCGCTCCTTCTCCCCTCCTTCTCCCCTCTTCTCCCCTCCTTCTCCCCTCCTTCTCCCCTCCTTCTCCCCTTCTCCTCCTTCTCCTCCCTCTTAGTCTTAATCCCTCCCTCCCGTTCTCACCCAATTTTACCCAACTTCACCCTCGACGCCTTGATGCTCTCGATCTTGGCGGGAGGGGGGATCACGCCATCCACCTCCCAACAGGTGGCAACTCTGCCAGCTGAATCGCGATCAATTGGGTGCATTTTTTGGGTCGCAATGTGAATCTGAGCTGCAAAGAAGGATGAGGTTCTGGTGGCAAAGAGGAAAGTGCTGTCAATCCGCTTTGCTCGAAAGGCATGCCACAACGTGGAAGCTGGAAAAGCGGTCTCTTTCTTGTTCCCATACCATAGAGTTGTCGGTATTGCCTGGGACATGTGGATGGCCAAATCAACCAAGCGGTTGGAGTAGCCCCACTCGTTGTCCTTGGCACAGCCACAGCTCGACGCGCCTTGCACCTCTCTGATGACCAAGGAACATGGCGCTATGAGGCACGGACATACCATGAGACAAGCTTGACAAACTTGTCATTGAGCGCGATGCACGCGCACTTGTCCTTCAAACGACACCGAGGCACAATGGCACAATCAGCTGCTCTCACATCTGATTGGAAAGTGCAAGGCACCACGAGAAGCTCATTTTTGCCACCCGCAATCAAGGACTCTCAGCTTTAATAGTCCGGAAGCTGAAAGTAACATCAAGCCTCCAGTGGCAAAATCCTGATCTTGAGGCGCCGGCAAAAATGGAGGAAAACGGGCAAGTGGCAAAGTCCATCGACACCACCTGTGCATCCCTTCCAAAAGTCCCATCCCGAGATATGTCTCAAAATTGATGGCCCCTCCTGGTGACTCCCTGCTTCCTGTGGGCTTCCCTTGCAAACCATCCAATCTCCAAACGAGCCAATCCCTTGGCACGCCTCGTGATCCGTAAAGCCGAGCACGCCCTTCATGGGCCCTGCCAGTTGCCAATGTCTCGACTGCGCGGCTCGCAGCCGCAACACCAAGCGCGGGCCTTCAGCTGCCTTCTTGATGGCAGCCTCGATGTCCTCCATGGTCGCAGCCCTGAGCCGAGCTGGCGAAGCTATGTTTGCTCCCAGCCAAAGCCGCACTACACGGAATACCCAAAAATCATGCTCATCACTTCGGCTCAGTTGGCCAGTGGTGTGTGGCCACTAGGGGGGGGTTGATTCGCAAAAAGCATATGTTGCTTATCTTGGCTAAATATGTTTGCGTGACCTTATCTCTAGCGTGAGGGCGGTGAGCATCTGAGCTGCACGCTTCTCGATTCGGCAAGTGAGGTCCACCACGGACACATCCGGCGTGGGGACTCGGAAGGCCATTCCTGTGAGCTTGCCTGAGCGACAGGCAGGAGTGCTCCTTGGGCTTCCGTTAGGTTTCCCAGCAAACCAAGGTGAAAAGAATACCCAGCCTCAAAGAACACACATTAAATGGAGATGCTCTCAAGAAAATATGTGCCTACGGTATGACGAGGACGCCGTCTGTGCCAAAACAACGATGCTGTGCTAGGTATTGCTCCCCTTCAAAAACAGAGTGAACGCTCGGCCTTTGCCATCCCTTTCCATGTTGGGGGCTTGGAACAGAGCCCTGACGTACGGATCTCATTCGGTGAGCCCGGCACCGTTCAAGGCTGGGATGACCTTGCCCACGGCCTTTGCAAATGGTCTCTCTGAGTGTTTTGATTTTCCTCCCAGAACCGCGGCTCCAAACTGGCTGGCAACGGCTCGTCGCAATCGCTTCGCCGGCCTTCGCCGCGCCGGTCGAGGAGGGAATGATGTTTTCGGACGCACATCGTCCACCACGCCAGTCCTGCGAAGCGTGGCGTTGCCTAAGCCGCCGAAAATCTAGTTACACTCGGAAAAAGTCATTGCTGAAGCCTTGTTTTCTCACAGACACATCTTGGCCGATCTATAGTTGAATTTTCATGAAACTTGACGAGAAGCGGCGCGAATGGCAGGTCCTTGCCGCCTCGAGACGGACCATCCACCGTGAGCTGCGTGGCTGTCATGGCATGGACTGTAGTCATCAGCCCCTGCGCGACGCAATGCCCTCCAACATTGGAAGCTGACAGGCTCCAAAAAATGACTTTCTTTTTGGGGCTTGTTGGAAAGAGAGTACAACACGGCTTAGCACCTGCCCTTACTCCATTCACATACAAGAAACAAGGTAAAGAAATCTGTTGCACGCTCTTTTGCGTTCTCCAAACAAGACATCCCACAGCAATCTTGTGCGGCCTCGACGATTCCAAAGTTGTCATTGATGACCTTCCAGCAAAGCTAGCAAACGGTGACGGGCATGTTACATTTGTGAAAAGCATTACAAAATATTACACAAAGCCCAAGCAAGGGACGATGCACAAGGATTCTTTACAACCATTGCATGGTTGTGCGAAGCACTGGACTTTTGCCCGCTCGAGCTTGAGAGCGGAAGCCAGTTGAATCAGGCATGTGCCTTGGCCAAGGGCGCCAGGCAGTTGGTAGTGCAGGAGGCGTTGGACACAACGTTAAGATCCTGGGCGTATTGGCCACTGGCCATGTCAATCGTCTCAGAAGCACACAGTCCTTGGTATAGTTCTCCTGGTTCACCCCCATCACGAACATAGGTGTGTTGTCCTGGTCGAATTGGCATGGCAGCTCCGGACATTGGACAAAGTTCAACACAGAGTCCGTCCTTTGGCGGAGCAGAGATGATCACCTTCTTGCAACCGCCCTGCAAGTGCTTAGAGGCCTTGTCCTGCAAGTGGGTACAATCTTACACTGCAACGGCTCGGATTCTTGCGCGTGCGGCCACGTTCCCAGTGCAGGAACGCATCTACATGTGGATGCTAGAGAATCATCTCTAGTCCAAGACAAGCGCGCCCTTGCGACGGGGACAATTGGGGTTGGATGCTCGCCCTTCGCGTAGCACTGACAGCAGAAATATCTGTCCTTGTCGCAAAACACGCCGGTGGACTCGCACACGTAGAGCGCACCAACGGCTCCCCAAGGGATCTGCGTGGGATCCTTCTCGTGAAACACCCGAACATTCAAGCCGTTGACAACCAAATACTCGTCACCATTGGCTTCCTCAGGGGCAGGATGTTCATAACCAATATCAAGAAGCTCAAACTAGGACCTTGCTCGCATGCTCCATGTTTTAGCACGTTACGTAAAGCCCAAAAGCTCCAACCCCGAAACCTGAACGCTGCCCAAAAGCTTGGTGGTGTGAGCAAAAGACGCTTGAAATGTCTAGCTGCCTGCGATTCCTTCCTCATGGTATCCCACTGAATTTCCCACCGGGCTCATGCTTTTGCCTCCCAAACTGGACAGGCCGTGCTCAGCTAGTGCCTTTGCCATCGAGCCCGCCAACACGTCCGCGAAATCTGTCCTTCTTGGTAGAAACTGTGCCGTTGAATCTCTTGTGCACGGAGTCGTACTTCAGCAAATACTTCATGTATTCCAAGTCCATGAAGGGGTCGTTGACAGCCACCATGGTAACCTCAGATCTCACCCTCACACACTTGGGATGTCATGGAAACTCGCTTGAGTGGACCTGTGCATCGCGAATGGCATTTTCAATGTTCCCCAAAGCATCCCCAAAGACACCACCGCAATAAACAGTAACTAGAAAAAACATGGAACCGTTGTAAGGGACTCACACAAAAACACATTCCTCAACACATGCCCAAACCACAGAACAGAAGACATCCCGCAAGCGCCCCCACATAACACCCCAGCCAGCCCCGGACACATCTCCCAAGACATATCCAAGACGTTCCTCAAACAACACTGCGGAAGACACCCCAGAAGATGTGCTCAAAGACATGTTCTGAAGACACGTTCCAAAGCCAAATCTCCAAAGATATTTCCAAATAAAGAGACTTGTAGAATGAACTTGACAAACTCTGGCGGAAGAGGTACAGCAAGCCAAGACGCACTTTGATTTTCCATGGCTGCGCGGAAAACCAGGCGCCCAATGCGGCCGAATCCGTTGACTCCCATAGTCGTCATTGCCTGGAATCGGGCAGGACATGTTTTGCAGGGAAAAAGCCAAAGAGGTTTGAGGACCGGCCCTCAGCATCCTTAGCCCTTTTCATAGCAAAGAGCTGACTTGAAAGAAATGCCAATGCCGCCAGGTCGCTAATGCTGAGCGGCGCGCGCGCCTGAACCTACTACCCCGTGAGCTGAAGATTTTCCCCTCGGACAAGCAGAAAGTCTTGGCACAGGGCCACATCTCTCGCTGCAACCTGGGGACTGGAAAGCTCCAGCATTGAATGCACCGATACAGGCAAAGACTCCACAAACATGAAGTGGAACACAACTCACAGTGTTCAACTCAAGGTATGCCAACTTGCCTCCGCAGACCAGCAAAGAAACAAACTCAAGCTTTGGTGTGTGAGATGCAAACCTCTACTGAAGGCGTGCAGCTGCTGTGGCATGTTGGAATGCCGTGTTGAAGCATGTTTGTCTAATTGCGGAGAATCACAATGCGATCCAAAGGACACTTTGACGAGTTGTAGCAATCATTGCTGGTGGTCCTAAACAGTCATTGCACAGCCGGACATGTTTGCGAGCAATTCGTTGTTTCATGATATCCTACGCCACGCTACTCAGGGGTCAACAATAGGATGTTTCTGCTGAGACATGGGTGTGGGAACCCCCCACCCCAACTTGGTGGGTTTCCTGTCCCTTTAGTCCAAGGGAAAGGGGTACCTTGAACAAAAACACACACACACACACATGCACAGGAAGGGATGACTTAAACTGTTTCGAAATGGTTGCGGTTGGTAAACCACATGTTGTAGCTAAACTGTTCATGAAGAGTGACGTGCGAGACGTGATCCAGAGAATCTCCAGAAGAATACTATTTGGGATTCAAATCCCGAAGAACCCCGGATCCCAGATCCCGAATATCCGAAATTGGGAATGGGATTCACAAAACCCGGTTTGGGATTCGAATCCCCAAATATCCCAAAATTGTGGATTCGAATCCGTTCTAAGTTGAGTCGAGTTGAGAAATGCTTCGGCCAGTAACTGCCGCCAAAATGAGCTGGCTGAAAACGTCCCAAAATGGCCCCAAAACGACTCAGAAACGACAAAAGTGGAAAGGGCTACCCAAAAAAAACACGCGCCCACTTTGGGTTTGGAACCCTGAATCCCGAATTTTGGATTGGGATTTGCGAATCTCGCTTTGGAATTGAACCCCGAATCCCAGAATTGGCATTGGGATTCCGACTTCGTGTGTTGGGATTCGAATCCTGCCCAAACTGGTATCGTTGCAAACAGCTAATCATGTCCTCTCAATGTACTTCTGCCTCACCCACGCACTCCGGAAAAGCGCTACACAACAGCTTTCTGCGCCAACAAGCACCTCTTAAGCCCCGGAAACGTGAAACCCTAGATCCAAATACATAAACCCGCGACAAGCGCAGGCCAAAAACCGCCGTGACAAAGGACCCAAAGAAAGCAAATGATCACCCAAAACCAACAGTGCCTTTTTGTCCCAAATATGTTCCGCATGTGGGCTGGCCGCAGCATGCGTAAGTGCCAGCAATGCAGCCATGGGCAAGTCCAAAGTGCAGGGCAATGCATCTTGGATGCCGTGCCAAGAATCTGAGGCTGGCCCGCCAATGAATTAAACATGAGGCCTCTATGAGGACTCCGCTTGTCTTCAATCAGTACTCCTCGTCATCCTCCTCCACCCGCTGGGGCCAGCTTCCCGTCTTTCGCCCAGCAACTGGAAGCCTCTTCCGCGGCCGGCGGGGCCTGCGCTTCGCGCTCGGCGCGCGCCTTGGCCTTCTCTTCGCGCTCGCTGGGGTCCCCGTCGTTGAAGGACCGGAGAAGCAGATGCAGATGGTAGAAGGGCTCCGACACGGGGCGCCCAAAGATGTCCACGGAGCTCTGCCAGTCGGCTTTGGAAGGCGCCTGACGGAACTCCGAACAGTGTGGGCGCTTCTTGAGCCAGTCTCCTTGTGGCAAAGGGATGCATTGGTCAACCCTCTCAGAAGAGCCCCCAGCCCCTTTTGGGGGGCTTAAAACTAAAGGGACCCTCGGAAAGGAATCACGTCTGGCCTTGGGTCGGTTGAACTCGAAGAACTCCAGGAAGTCCAGAACTTTGCAGAGCCCCACCTGGGGGTTCTCAGTCTTCGCGGTAGCATGGCTTTTCCTTAAAGGGATACTCCGAATAAACTCACATGGCACACAAAACAAAAGAACCTTCGAAACAGCCCGTGTTGTGGCTTTCAATATGGCCACAGCACGCATCCTTCCAGAAAAGTTCCGGGGTATCACCAAGTTTGCGTCTTGGAACACGAGGCCCAGCCCAGTTTTCCACCCCTGTGACGGACGCTTCCCAGCGCGCCTTGCCCATGGCCTTCCTCAGCGCGGCGGCCACCCGGCAGAAGGCGGCCGGGAAGCTCTTGGGCTCCGTCAGCACGTTGGAGCCCTTTCGCACCACCGAGTACCACGCCTCGCGCGCGAACCGCGCGACAAAGAAGAAGAAACAAGCGGGAACCGCCCCGTTTCCGGGGGCTCTGACATGCGGAATCTTCCTGGTTCCAATATTGTCGTTTATTCTAGCCGCCCCAGTGGTAGCCCCAACACGAATTCGACTAATCACTCCAGTTGCCCGGAGGTCGCTCGGGTTTTCGACTTCCCGGACGTTTCGGTTTTGTCAAATAGTGGAAACAGTGGAGACATGGAAGGGACAGCTGCCGGCAGGTGCACTGCTTGAAAGCCAAAGAGTCTGATCTTTGTTTGATGTCGGGCTAAACATCTGTTGCCTTCGCTGCAAAATGAAACTAAATGCTGCAAGGAGTCAACTCGTTCTCTCCACATGCCAGACCAAACGTCGGTTGGATTGACTCTATCATCTCATGAGTCGGTGTTGTCTTAGCAACCGTTCAAACATGTGACTGCACAGCTGTTGATTCGTGAACATCGACTCATAGGTCTCAAAAGGGCTCCATCTTTACCAGGGTAACTGGGCAATTGGGAAAAAAGTTGAAATACCTGTAATGCATCAGCTCCAACAAACGAGTTGTAAACACGGTCGGTGCCTACTTTCTGGTCCGCTTGTGTTGGTTTTGCTGTCAGACGAAAATGAAAACAGCTCTTTTAGGGTTTTAGGGCCCCGCTTTTGAGACACACCCGTCTATTTTTGCGCAACATCGCCAGCCAGAACCCGCCCTGGCCTTGACTCCTTCCATGTCCTTGAGGCGGCTCTGCAGAATTGCAGACAAAGGCGGAGCCTTCGCGCCTTGCCAAATGTGGTCAAAGGGGGAAATGAGAAAACCCGAAATCGCCAAAGGTTGAAATAAGCTGACGTTCGAAGTCGCGCCAGTCCCAATTTGTTAAGGCACCTACAAATTGCGGCTTGAGGCTGATCCCCTCCACAACCAGCTCCCCGTCCAACTTCTCATGGGGTGTGTACTCGACGTCATCCTGGTATTCCACCTCTGGAAGTTCAGCAGGCCTCGCTTCCTCCATATAGCCCGCGCTGCTCATGTCGCCACGTGTTCTAGCCGGATGGTTTCGCAACTTCTATACTTTGGGAGGTTCAACACAACAAAGAAAACGGATTCACCCCTGTCCTTCTCTTCCTCCAGGCTCTTCTCCAGTTCCGCTTGCAGATCCTTCACGGTCGAATCTAGCTCTTCCAGGTTTCTCTTCCAGGCAGGAGTCATCAGCGCCCCCGCTTGCATGAGCATCTGCGCTGCCAGGTAGTCCTTGCCAACACGGTAGTCACGATCCAACAGACCCAGGGCGCCGCGCTGTTCTGGCTCGCCTCAGGGTTGCCACGCGGAGTCGAACATTGGAATGTCCCCACCACTCGCCGCTCACACCTTTCCCCCCTTTCTCCCACGCTACAGTCAGGTCCGAGAGCCCTCCTTCTTCGAACTGTTGGTAGTAGACATGCTCCAAGTCCGTGTCTGGGTGGTCCAAGAAGAGCTGCAAGATGTCCCTCCGGGGCGCCACCAACTCTTGGTCCGACTGTGCGTTGTGGTAGCAAGACCCAGTGTCCAGCTCCTAAGGCCACATGGCAGAGTTGGAAAAGGTGTCCACAGATGTTTCAAAAGTAAAACCCGGTCCTGGATCATAGCCATGCCCAAGGGGCTGAGGCGAACACATGACCCATGCCAGCCGTAGGAATAAGCACCTGGCCCGCACTGCTCAACAAATGCGTAGTGGTGGATCCTAGTGAGAATCCTTAGATTGGTCCGACCAGATTAAGAACCCCTAGAATGCCTTCCTACGCTGCAAAGGGGTGATTCTGACCCTGCCCCCTCAAATTGCCCTAAGTGAAGTGAAGACTTGACTTCGACTCACCAAATTCTGGTTCCTCAAAAGCCTGAGCTTTTCTTCCAGTCTTTTGGCAGGCTTTTACTGTAGTGCCCTTAAAGTGGGCATCCACAAAGCTCAAAGCGACACCTTGAAATTTAGGGAACCTGGAGACCCTGCAACCTGTCGCTATGTTGCGGGTTGAATACACTACTTGGCGCCACACCATTCCGCCACGGACCCTCGGAACCCAGAGGCCTCTGTTGGGATCGATGCTCGGCGACGCTAAGAGCTCCTTGATCACCTCCAAGTTGCTCTTGGACTGCACACTGTCCCACCTCACTCATGCGGCAGCACAAGCGAGGGCTGCAAAGGACATGGGTTGAACCACCCACTGCTGCGTTTCCCAAGACCAGCATGAAACGTAGGCAACCCAAAACTAAAAAGCTGCCATTCTGTGGTGACCCGTTTTGAGCGCGCACACACACACACACGTAGAGAAAGGGGAAATCTCCAACCAGTCTCCGAATAGACAACTTCAGACTCAAACTGCTGCCCTTCACCCCGGAAAATGATACGTGTTTGGAAGGAAGGATAGTGAGGACAAGTGGAAGCTAAGCATTGGAGAGGGATCTGTTGACGTTGTATCCATGTCATGCCGTGGATGGGCAAATCTTCACCATTTGGGAGGCGACACCATAAAAATCATGAGCCACCTACCAACTGGTGCGAAGGGTTTTGTCCATTCACAGTAGTGGAGCACGGGGTTCATGGAAAAGCAAGGCCTGGATTGCACCTTAGAAGGACTGAAGTCGGGAGGAACCGACGGAGCTGTGGGAAATAGCTGAAACCACTTCAGTCATACCACCTGGTATGCCTTAGGAACGAAGATGGGGGCATCCCACAACCCGGCTTCAGGGTGGGAGCATAAGTGTACTTGTGTAAAAGCAATAGAGGGCACTAGTAAAAATTCTTACCCAACTGAAAGCTGCGGAACGAATCTACTTTCTCAGCCAAACAGGACAAAAACTGCCTATGGCATCGGGAAGCTGGTTGAAAACTGAGCCGCCGGTGGGGTAGCTTGAACCCGAAGAGATACTCCGCCCACCGCCCCTCGAAGGTCTTACGCATCGCCAGCACCAAGGGCGTCGCAGTGCTCGCGTCCCCTTCCACGTGGTCAAAGTTGGGATCCGCTTCCTCGCCGGAAACGAAGCCGCCAAAACGAGATGGCCATGGTGAATTCACCGAAAACCCCCAAAGTGGGATCCCAAAACGGTTTTGAACCACAGCCATACCGGGGAAAAGAAACCCAAGGGAGCAGCTGCCCCCTGAGCAGGGGCTCAAGCCCCCTGAAGGTCGATGTCTTGTGCCTGTAAAATTGTCTTCCAAATGTGTATATATTATTTACATATGAACCCCCCTGGATGGATCTACCTTTTTGCTGTTTGAAGGCTATTCTGGAGATGGAAAGAAGTTGTTTCATTTGGATTGCCCCATGCGACTTGACCAGGATCAGTTCATCCTAAGCAAGGAACTCCTCTTCCAAATCTAGTAGATTTGCTTCCTTTTTATAAAAGTATATTTCACGTCAAAAGTAATCAAAAAAACAACCTGGAAAAGGAAGTCCTCTTTGATATCTAACTTGAAGGAAAGATCCCGAATAGCATATTATTTACAAAGGAAACCTCATTTTAAATCATCTGGTTTTTTTGTTAGGAGCTTATCACGTTCAACTTCTATTACTTTGAAAGTTGAAAAAGCAATCCTGCAAAAGGAAGACCGGTTGAAGAGTTAAGTTAAAGTAAGAGTTCCAGGTTAAAACCTTCTGAATACACTATGCCTGTTCAAATGATCTCTTAAATTAGAAATTATACTAGAATTATGGTCTTAAACAAATCAAAAAATGTCGACTAGAACTATGTCCTTATTAAACTGCATGTAAAATATAATTACAAACCAGAAAGCCCGAATCCTACAAAAAGACTGCCCCCCAAATCTAACTTGAAGTATATAATTCCAATCAAATATATTCGTGGGAGAGGAAATCGTCAGGCAATTCAAATTGAGACAACAATTCTAAATGAAACTTGCTTAATTCCTTATCAAAACCTGTTTGAATACCAAGCAAACCAAAAAAAACATGAGTTTACTTAAACAACAACCTATGTCTCAAATGAAATGCATAAAAAATGAAAAAGTGGTTTAAATAAACCTCTACCAAAAAAAAAATCGATGAACGCAAGCCAATAAACCCCAAACCGTAAACCCTACACCCTCAAATGAGGTTTGGTCAAAAAATCCAAAAAACACAGAAAGGAAAAATTATGGAGCGGAGCCAATGACCCAACAGTAAAGAAGTGCAAACAGCTGAAATCAAAAAGTAAAGCAAAAAAAGACAAGCACGTAAAGTTTAAGCAAAAAAAAAAAACGGAGACAATCACTCAATACATAAAACCAATGAAAAAGCAAAATCATTCAAGAAAAAAGGCAAAGAATACACAACCTGGACCCAATGACCCGACAGTAGAAAAGTGAAAGGTGAACAAGTCAAAAAGTAGAAGAAAAACTGTCGACCCATGGCGCATTTCCAAAGACCGGGAAGCTTTAGGCTCCAGGCTTTTCCAGGGCATCTTGAACTCAGCTATTTCTAAGCTGAGGTTCGGTCAGAAGTTGCAAAACTGCAGCAGTACTGGGGCCAATAGCCCAGAAGTAAAAATTCGACACGTAAACACGTAAACACGTGTATATATATATATAAAAGTAAACAAGAGGTACACTTCTGGAGCGAATGAACCAAGGCAACAAGTAAAACAACAAAAGCAACAAAGTAAACAAGTACATATTTCAGTCCATTTTCAGAGCTGCTTCCCCAAGCCCCAGAGCGGAACACACACCAAAATGCCAGTGAATTCTGAAGGCAGGTCGATCCGTGAGGGGGGTACGATATACATATCCGTGTTCCCACACACACACACACACACCCTTGCTATGTTTCTTTTCAGGAGGCGCCCCTTCCCGGTGGGGCTACCTGTATGACCAATTACCAGGGGTTGGGGGGGGGGCTGCACCAAACACCTATACATATACATATATATATATATATATTTATATTTATATTTATACATATTATACTGTACGTTGACATGCTCTCCCCCGACCACAAACCAAGGTGCTCACGCGTTGTCATGTGAGTTGCTGCATTTGCATACCGACAAAGAGACTGTCTGAGTCTTTCCTTTTTGGGTTTGCAGCTGGAGGCAGCTCTCCAAGTCAGTCAGCTAAATCCTGGCAAATGGCCAATGCAACATACAGGCATCTCAGTGCAAAGCGTTCTTGATGTTTTAACGTTTCCCCGGCAAAGGCAAAAAAAACAGTAAACTTGTTGGACACATGAAAAGTGAAAAGCAACACAGCCTGAAGCGAAATCAGTTTGCTTTTGGCCGTTTGACTAGAAAATGTCAAAGGCAAAGAGTTTGGAGCCATGAGAAGCAGAAAGTAAAACGGCCAAAAGTATATCATAGTTGCTTATTGTTGCTGTTACTGGGGAAAAGAAAGCAATACATGTACTGTCAGCAAAAGAGCGCCTTACGTCAGGCTGCTTTGCTTTTTACTGTTTCACTTTTACTCAGGGGAAGTATCAAAAGTCAGGAAACATACTGGTTGCTTGCGTTGTTTTGCATTCATTCACTTCACAGGCTCTATTCACTGGCTCTACGAGTCGCCAAAACCTAGGTTTTGCTCGGGGGTATCTGTCGACATCCAGCTTGCTTCGGCCAGAGCCTCTTTCAGGATCTGCTTGACCTCCGCGGAATCTCCACGAGCAATCGCTTTGCAGAGGCGCTGATGCGTGGGCCACAGCTGCACTTTCGCCAAGCACTGCTTGTAGATCGCCTGGAGGGGTGCCCATCGAACTAGAAATTGTTGGGCAAATGGGTGTGTGTCAAAATTAAACCACCAGGGCACCGCAGGTTTTCGTCCATGGTTCCATGTACCAGAGTTCCATTTTGGGTACCTATTGTTGACCCACAGCCAAATGTTGGGAGGCACCATGGCTTGAGCCGTCAAATCACTGAACATCGGTTCATTTCAGATCATTCTTTGTTCTGCAGGGAATGAGTTTTTTCCCCCCGGCTTGGGCCCCCTTTCCTCCCCAACCAACAATAGACTCCCAACATCTTGTTGTCAGCGGCTCATTCGGTTTTGCCCACCCTCCCAAAACCATGAAAGCTGACGGTCGCTGTGGCCCCGTGTTTTTCCTTTCACAGAACCCTCGCCCCAGACTCCTCCACTAGGGAAGGAGCCAACTTAAGAGCAGCGTCCGCGAGAACCACATTCAACAGGATAGCTCTGCTACTCAAACATCCCTTTGAGAGCTGCAGGTCGGTTCCCTTTGAGGTCCATGGCATTGGATTCGATCCCTAGAGCCCTAAGCCGCCTGGACGCTGATCGCTTCTGGCGGGGTGAGGACCCCAGTGATGTCGGCACCCAAAGATATCAAGCAGGCCATCGCGGGAAAACTCTGGTTCCTCACTGGTCGAAGGACGAAACATCCAGGCTTGGCTCGGTTCGGCTTGGTTTGAAACGGTTTGGTGTTTGTTGTTTGGTGCGGTTGGCTTAGCTAGGTATCCTTCGGTGTCCTTTTTCTTTGTGACTCTTCTTCCGCGAACCTGTGGCTCAGTGCCCTCTTTCGGTGGGGAATCTCTTTGGAGACAAATATTTTGATGAAACGGAAATACGTATAGTTTGATCAATATAAACAGCAACAGAATATGGAACCAAAAGGTCATAAACGGCGTTCAACTGGTAACTGACTGGTGTGTGGAAACCTTAAACCGTGGGTAAGCCTCTCATCTCCAGCTCAGTTTGCTCCCCCGAAACTAGACAGTAAACCACCGCTCTGGCATTGTGCACGTGTCAAGCCTGGACGTGCACTTTCGGGAGTACCCATTTTTGAGACTTACCTAACTAGGGACCCAAAAGACTTTTATTTTCTTGTTGGCTTCCCTTTGAGACCTGCCAAACAGCCGGTATCCCCCGCAAGAAAAGCTCGCTGCAAAATCAAAACTGCTTTTGACAGTTGTCAACTGAAATTTGATCAGCCAAATCCTGGCAACACGCGAGCAGGGTTCCCAACCTCACGTGAACAGCTCAAGCTTGCTTGTTCCCTTCCCCTTCCACGAGTCATGCTTTTGAGGTTCTCAAAACCTGTTTCCTCAAGAGCGCGTGCTGTGAAGGGGAAAAGAAACCAACACAAGCCAGCCAGTTGGAGGACCCATTTCCTTTTCAAGGCAATCGTGCTCCAAAAAGGACAGGCCCACAACAATCCTTTGAACTCCCATTGAAACGTCAACACCAAAAGAAACACGGTCCCCGCTTTTTCCGGCGTTTCGTTTTCCGGCGCGAGGTGCTCGAACTGCTCGTTGAGCAGCAGGCACCTGCCTACCTCGTCCCTGCGTTCCGCTGCCGAGAGCAGCGCCTTCTCGGCCCGAGGGAGCAGCTCCTGCCGACCACCTCCCCAATCTGAAAGAAAGGTGAGTCCCCTTACCCAGCATTGAAAGCATTGTGGCGACCCTCTGCAACCAAACCACCAAACTGCCTCAATCTTGGTGCTTCAAAGGGAGAAAAAAGGGTACCTGACAATGCTGGGTTGCACCCCCCCCACCATTTTCGGGGCCACCACGCAGGGCACCCAAGTCAACCACGGACAATCCCACAGGTGTGATCTCGTGTCGCCTAGCTCTTCAAATGAGGCACCACGTCGCGTGGTGTCCTCCTACTTTCGCTCGACGCCCATCCAAAAACAACTGTTCAAAAAAGGACACAGCCAGTCGAGGCATCCAGGCCTTCTCAAAGAAGTCGAACTTCCACTTCCCCTCAAAGTCGAAGAAGGAGGGCAGCGCAGAGTTCAGCAGCCATGTGGTGTCCTGAGAGACGATGGGAGGCTGTGGCAAAATTGCACTTCAAAAAAAAACAACCATGGATTCCCCTGCACTGCAGTAGACTCACGAAATGAGATTGAATTACAACAAACATGTTCGGCAAAGTCAACATCACATCTCATTGGGTCTGTGTCGCAATAGGGGCATCCCAACATGTTTGTGAGTCCCTTTTTGTTTTCCGGTCGAACCAACCGGAAAAGGGTGCCTTTGAGAATGACTCAGTGGTTTGAAAAAGAGCAACTTGAAGCCATCAACCCCGCCGTCCTGCAAGGTCTCGATCGCCTTTCAGGGTCGATGTTCCTTCGGCCTTGAACCGTTTAGTAGAAGATGCGAGGCGTGCCTTGAAAAGTAATCAACCACCATGTTCACGGTTCCACCTGGAAAAAAAACAGGTCTGCCATTCTGAACAAAATCCTTTGGGAACAACACCATGAATCAACTGAGGAATCCCACACGCCAGTGGTCGAATGCATCTTTCAGCATGGCCAACATATGGCATGTCTCATGCAGCCCCGGATGGTCGGCCTTCCAAACGGGCCGAAAAAGGGTGGCAACATAAGAGTTCTTAAGTGGCTGACAGCTCCCTCAACAAGCATCCTGTGCTTGGCAAGAATCCTGACTACGAGGTTCCTTTGTGCCACCACCAGCTCATATCTTTCAAGAAACGCGCTGCCTCCGGCGGGATGACCTCCATCACCTTGAACAAGAGCGCCTTGTTCCCGTTGTTCATGGCAGCCCTCGGTGAGGTCTCCCCATGCAACACTCACAGCTTTTGGCATTTGGCAGGTAGATCGCGCTGAAACTGACACCGTTTCACAATGTGTGCCCACGAGGGTTCGCCCCTCTTCACAAACCACGAGGAGAACACAAAGTGAGGGCGAAGCCGGAAGGACTTTTCTCAGGCTTTAGTCCGAGCGTCTTCAGAGCAGTTTCCCCATCCGCAATGGGGAGGGCGCTTACCTTTGCCAGACTAGCAGTGGCAAAACGGAGTCGTCCCCTCTAGCGAAATCGAAACAAGACAATGAACAAAGACTGACTCAGACCTCCTGCGGACACAATGAGGAAACACTCCAACAAAGTGGCGCAATGCTGTTTGGCAAACAGGTCTCAGCAATTTGTATGTACCTGCAAGGCCTTTGAGACAACGGTTTGACCGCGGACCTACAAGCGCGAACTCTAACGCCTATGTTAAGTCCCAGCACCTAAAGATCCAAACAAATTGGACTCAGCGGTGATAGTATTTCAACTGGTTGATCCAACTCGTGTTGACACCTAGCCAATTCCTCTCGAGCGAACGAGAAACTGAGGGCTCATCCAGGGAGTGACGTTGAACAGGTGTCCCAGTTCAGACCGGATCCAAATTTCAAACCCAACAACAGTGAAGTTGTATATATAATTGAAAAAAAGTGTGCCAAAAACACTGAATCCTTGAAAAATTGGTCCACAACCACGATGTCGCGATTCTCGGTTCGCTTCGGGGTCGCCAGCAGCTCGATGCCCTTGCCGTAGGTACTGGATTTCTGCGCGCTCAGCGCGCTGAGTGCGTCCCGCAGCAGATCCCCGGGATCGGTGAGAGGATCCCGCGCCATCCTGCGCGTTCAGCTCGTTTGTTCTTTTTGTAGGGTTTTGTAGAGTTTTGGGTTTTGGGTTTTGGGTTTTGGGTTTTGGGTCTGGGGTTTGGGGTTTGGGGTTTGGGGTTTTGAGAGAACCCTCTTTTTTTGTTTGATAGGGTTTTGGGCACCAGAGGGAAATTCAGGGCTCCTTTCCCTCTTCTGCAACGTGGAAACGGTCTGTTTCCCTTTCAAATCGTTCACACCATTGAATGGAGGCCCACTTTTTGCCTGTCCTCTGTTTAAGGTTGGGCATGAATGGCATTAGATTGTTCATCAACTGTTGTACAAACTGGGAAGCCCCCTTTCAAACTTTCACACTAGCCAGGTGAAAAGTCTGTACTGTGGACTGTCTTAAAAGCATGCAATGAATGGGGGGTCAAATCCATTGCCCTTCAACATGACCTGAGGGGTTGTAGCTAAAAAATATGGAAGCTTGGTATCACCGTGACGGAAGCTGGAAGTTCGCTTCACAAACCCGTCCTCTTTGTCCACCAGTCCTTCAGCTCTTGCTGAGCTGGACCTGCTTCCACCGTCCCTTCCGCATACTGCCTCAATGCCTGCTTCGGAAGCTCGATATCCTCGTCCTCCTCGCACGCAATGTCATCGCCTCCATCGTGGCCTGCCTCATCTCCCTTCGGGAGAGCAAACTTGCCGGCACTCGCGCCGGTCCCCATGTCGGCCTCCGCTCTCGAACCTCTGCCCGGCTCTGTTCGACTGTCATAACGAGCAAGCATCAGTGTCAGAGCCGGCCTTTGGCAAACTAGCAATAGTTCAATGCGCAAAAATGGGTCATATAACCAGAAGAGACCAAAACACAAGGGGGGTTGCACGCATCGCGGGTGCCACGAAAAAACGAGAAAGTTCCATCTTCCAAGAGCATTCACCTTTCACAAAAATGCTTGTCAAGCAAAACTACTTCAACATTGCACCGGGCATGCCTGCATGAAATTGCGTTGGTTGTTAAGTTGCTACCATGGATGCAACTATGCGTGCTTAAGCATGCGTTTACTTGTCAAAGGAAGTTTAGAAGGAAACTTCCGATGTACGGAAACGAATTGAAAGGTAGTTTGCGCGGAAAGATATCTCAGAGGAGCAGATAGTCCATGCACAAGCATAGCTCTCGCAGATAGCTTGCAGCAGGTCAAATGGCCTATGCGAAAACGCGAGCGTGTGCAGCTAGCTTGCGCCCAAATGAGATGAAGAAAGAATGATACTGATAAAGCGTTAGGTGTAATATCTGTTGATTATGGTTTAGAAAGAACAAAAACAAATATAAATGTGACTTTATCTTGGGATAATTTATCAGTATCTAAACCCAGTGATTTCTGTTGACCTAGGTCTTGAGGTACGGGATTGGCTTGGAGCCGAAGAAGTACCAGTTGAACTCCTGCGTTCCTTTTTCACTGCCTTATTTGAATGTTGCCAACGTCGAAGTCTTGCCGGCCTGCTCTTGGCTGGACAGTGTGGGACGGAAAAAACATGCTGCCCGACTTTGGGTTACGCTTGACTGTGGTATCAACAAGGACCCATGCAGGACTCTCACCGCACATGCCCGAACTGCTACTATTCGCGGTTATATTTCTTGTGACGAAGATCCCTTTTTGACGGGTGACATTGGGGCGGCTACGCAAATTTCGAGCATTTGTAATGTTCGTAAATGCTGCGCAGGTGGAACTCTTATTTCTTCTTCCATGACCAGGTTCTCTTCCGGGATAATGATCCGCAGCAAGTTGCGGCCCCACCTTAAGCAATGGAATGAATTTGGAAGCACCCATGAAAATTGCTTGCCGGGCATGAGAAGGAGGAAGTGGCACGCAATGCCTGTTCAAACCTGCTCTAGACTGGCAAGAAAAACCGTTTGCTAACGATCAGCCTCCATACCTTTACCAAAGAACAGAAAGCCCTGGTCAAACTCGGCATCTTTCGGCTTTATGTGGTCTGGGCGCTGGCCTCTTTGGCGCCCTCTGCTCGGGCTGCGATTTCCTTGCTGGCTGCATGGGCGACTTGGAGTTAGGACAGGCCATGCGCAACTTTTTCGAACTCAAAAGTCCAGGGTCCACCCTAGGTTTGTTTGCATTTATTGAATAAGCTCCCCAACACAACAATTTTATAACATATTTTGAAACAGTCTAAACACATTTTGATAAATATTGTATATTACAGCATACCAAAACGAAAAATAAAATGAAAAATTCAATACACCAAAACATTTTTATTTTCAAAAACACATATTTTCCAAAACATTTTTAGAAATATATTTTTCCAAATGAGATAAATATATATATATATATAGCATTTTAAGAAGAATTATTCAATAAGAAACCACATTTTCAACAATTTAATGAGAAGACTTAATAATTAGTCATTCTTCAACATATTGTGTATATATCTTACCTCTTTCATACATCGGTTGAATAATAATATTTGTATCTCTAACTGTATTTTTGACATTAAATTTGTTACGTTCAACATGATTTAATGTTTTCTTTTACATCAAACCCTTCCCTTCTATGATAAGTCAACATCCTTAACATACCTTCAATCATTTCATATTTTTCTTACTGATTTTCAGAAATGCTCTAACAAAACTATAAGGTGGTATTTCATACACAGTTAAAAATATCAAAAAGTCATCTTCAACATTTCTTTCATCTATTTTTTAATCTCCAAGAAATGGTCTATTATATTTTGATATCGTCTCCATCTTCTACAAGTTCTACATACATCTTCTTTACCCAAAGCATAATCAACAATATTATTAACTATTCCATTAGGTAAATTCAATGTGTATAATTTCATATTCTCTTTTTTGAAGTGGCAACAGTCGTGGCATTTCTTGATGATATAATTATTGATTGCGGTTTCCACCATTGCACTATATAATATACATATATATATATATACATAGTTTTTATTTCATTAAACACTTTTTCCAAGAAATAAAATTAAAATATTGCCATATAATTATAACATATAAGGGTATAAATGATATTATCATCGTCTGGTTTTAATCAAAGTCATTAGTTTTGAAATATTCCTTTGTAATCTTTGGTATTTGTTTAAAGTTCTTTTGGTTATGTTTAAATGGAGATTTCCTAACAGCAAAATCATAAATGCAAAAATGAATGCCCCAGATTCCTAAAACACGTTTAATATCATTTACACATCACCATATGTTAAATAACCTAAAGGTTCCATCGCTTCCAAGATGAACAATTTTATATGTGAAATTTACATTGAAAACTGATGTTTTGGTTGTTGTATCTTCTCTACAAATTAAAAATTCTCCTACTTCATATTCATCCTTTCTATTTTCAATTTACACCGCTTCCAAGAAGCACCTCTCCTTGCCCAGGTTCCTTTACATCGACCGGCGATCATGCTGTAGGCGATTTCGGGGGGAAAAACCATGCTGTCTCTTCCAGTCTATGACCGCTTCCTTGATCTTGTCCTTCACCCCGTATTTGTGAGAACCATCCTCATTGCCCTCATAGCCACGCCACTCTTCTCTGCGTTCCATTGTCTCTTCTCATCTTCGAGAAAGGTGATCTCCCCGTTCTCGTCGACGTCGAGGATCTTTGAACCACACCATCTTCTTGGGGGTCTCAGATTCACCGGACCATTCTGACGATTCACTCATAACGTCGTCGTCACGCTCATGGTAGACAGTTTCGGCCTCTTCCGGTTCCTGATCAACATCTTTCTTGAAGCTGACCTTATTCGCAGGGACCGATTGCTTCAAGACTATCGCAGGCTGGCGATGGAGCTTTTCACAATCGCTGGACGCACTTCCCCTTCTGGAATGCATAGCACACCCCATCCTCCTGGCAGAGCACTTCCTGACAGAGCACACTTCCCCCTTCACGCCCCCCCCCAAAGCTGACTCGCCCCCCGGTGGCTGTTGATGAGTGTTCAACAACAGAGATCTTGAAGCGCCCCTTCCCCCTTCGCGCCCCCGAAGCTGACTCGCGGCGCCTCGGTCCTTGTTGATGAGAACAGATCTCAAGTTCAACAACAGAGATCTCAAAGCTAACTCGCGCCCCGGTGTCTTTGACAACAGAGATCTCGAAGCTGACTTGCGCCCGTGGCTGTTGATGAGTGTTTGACCAGAGCACACTTCCTGGCAGAGCACACTTCCTCACAAGTTCTGGCAGCCCCCCAAAGCTGATCCCTTACCCTTCACGCCCAAAAGCTGACTCCCCTTCACACCCCCGAAACTTGCGCCCCGGTGGCTGTTGATGAGTGTTCGACAACAAAGATTTCAAAGCTGACTTGCGCCGGTGGCTGTTGATGAGTGTTCGACAACAAAGATCTTAAAGCTCTCGCGCCCCCGGTGCTGTTGACAAGTGTTCGACAACAGACATCTTAAACTTACCATTTTTTTTCAAGCAGGGAGAACGGCACGAGGACGGGGGCACGAACGGGAGCACTGCCCCGTCTTTTGCGTGCGCTTGTGCCCAGCCCCCGCCAAAGGCGCCGAAGTGCAGCTTTGCAACTCCGTTCGGTGGCACCGAGAAGTCCAGGTGCCGGTAACGCCCACGTAGTCGTTGTCGGCCGCGCTAACGTGCATTACCGTGTCCAGGGTACCGGCACGCGCTGTTGGCGACTACCGGACGGCGAGGCGCAGGACACAGACGCAGGCCGCCATCGCGGGCGCGCTGCTGGCACACCGGACGGGCCCGGACCAGAACGTCAAACGACGAACCAGACCTTGGCGCATCGCCGCCGCCCTGCTTATACACCATCGCGCAGGCCTTAGCCGGAGTCGCAAGGCAGCGTTGGCCTGGAGATAGCCTGCGCTGTCCGGACAAACACAATGCATAGTTACATTGGTCAATTCATCATGCGCTACAGCGAGAATGTTTTGGCCGACGCCATCGGTCAATTCGTCATGCCATGCGCTACAACGAGCTGGACCAGGAAGTTGAATTGAGCCAAAGCACTCAAGGATGTATCACAACCCACGACTAGACTCCAAAGCAACTCACTCCTGTGCAAACATGTTTGAAGGACCTGTCACGGGCAACATCCCGGGTCCTTGGACAACGGAGAGGTATGACGGCACGCACGTTGCTGCAGGGCAGCTGGCCCTTGCTCTGACGCCCACCGCAGGCTTCGAAGCTGGACAGCAGCGCCCAGCCTACCGCACGTTACTTTGCAGCACTAAAGGGGATGTTGGGAACGCTGCCCCTCGCATTGCACAATAGCAGGCAGGGCAACAATCCAACCACATTGGCCGTGATGAGGCCATGCGGGCCACTGCATTCTGCAGAAAGTCCCTGTTTCATGGGACACGCAGTGGGATAAGTTGCTTGCCGCTACCAGCATGCCGCGGGTACTGAACCAACGCCTTGCATACATTAACCGCAAGTACCGCGCCGCCCTCGTTTTCATTCCAAAGCCGAGGCTGGGCCATATGCTCTAAAGAGAGAGCCCCGCTTCCGCACAGAAAGATTTAGGTGTCGCAAAAACCCAAATACGGTTAGAACAAGTGGGCATGGGCTTTAGCATCAATCCGAGCTGTATTTGGCCCTGCAGAGGAAGCCCTCGCATGATACTTCCAGAGGAAAGAATACGAGCGCCCCAAGGGCGGCATCAAGGTCAGCACACGTAAGTGGGCGGAAACAAATGTGCCACAAGTCCTCAAACAAGGGTGACCAGAGCAGAAGTCAGGTTGTGGACCCTACACAAGGTACAACCAACAACAATGTCACCTCCAATAGTAGTGCTTTTT